ACTCGCAGAGAGATAGGGACAGCACTGCCAAGCTTGAGACCCCTTCTTTGGTACCCTAAATATTAGGTGCCGTATTATAATAAGGACCCAGAAAGGGACCCTAATATTGACAACCACCCATGTAGGATCCCATCAGACGAGCAGAAGTCGCGACTCAGACAAGCACCCAGATAGCCAGCGGCCCACTTCCAGCGGAACTGCGTCGTCGGGAAGCGCTGCAGCACGCCTGCAGAATTCATTGGGTACACAAGGGAAACCTGCTCGCTGAAAGGTAGCTGGAGATGCACTTGCGTGGTTGAAACAGCTCAAGAAAGCGAGCTACCGAGAAGTCGAGAGTGGCCAAACGACTAGTGACTTGCAACACGCCAGCAAACGTGCTTTGCTTCGGAGGGGGCAGAAGGCTTGCTTTGGTCTTTTATGTGTCTGCGATTCTTCGTCCGGACAGCTGGTGAAGCAGAGTGCAGTGCTGATTCTATCGTCGTCTCATATCATGGTCCATTTTACTACTGACGGTACAGCCACACTGTACCCACATCGGAACCTGGGCATCTATCAACAAGGCATGACTGCGATTATGGCAATACCTACTAAAATCAGTCAATGCCAGGACGAGTTTACCATGAAAGATCCCGCCTTACTGACGGCAGGGGAGCCCGGAACACACCGAAGACGGCCGTGAAGCCCTGGCGACATGTTGGAGCTCTTTATCTAAAGGTTCAAAGTCTGCAACTGGATGTTGAGGGCTTCAAAGGGTTCGTGGCTGAAGCTAGAATAGTAGTAATAGTAGTAGTAGTAGTAGTAGTAGTAGTAGTAGTAGTAGTAGTAGTAGTAGTAGTAGTAGTAGTAGTAGTAGTAGTAGTAGTAGTAGTAGTAGTAGTAGTAGTAGTAGTAGTAGTAGTAGTAGTAGTAGTAGTAGTAGTAGTAGTAGTAGTAGTAGTAGTAGTAGTAGTAGTAGTAGTAGTAGTAGTAGTAGTAGTAGTAGTAGTAGTAGTAGTAGTAGTAGTAGTAGTAGTGGAGTCGGGGCTTCTAGGGAACTTTCGGGCTTCGAGTTGTTGAAGAGTGAGAGGGCAAAAGGCACTGGATATGCACTCCGGGGATCCGTGGAAGCACCATGTCCTACGATCGCAACAATGGCACCACAGCTGGGGCAAGGAGTAGTTCTGACCAAGCCACCGTACTTCGATTTATAAAAGCATCATAAAGCCACTACTAAACCACTACAAGTCGACAGTGCCCTTCCAGAACCCAGAGACACAGCACCACGCAGAGATCCTGGGACTTTTTGACTTTCAACCGCTGCTGGCCATGCAAAACCATACCCGAAGGCGTCAGCGACTCTATCATGAGCAGCTTCTCAAATGATTCAAGCGACAGTATTTTGCCCTATTGCTCCCCCTTCACGTGTTACTTTTCTTGAGGCTCCGCCCCAACGACAGTGAAAGGAACGTTGGCTCATCTTCCGAAGCCATCAAAACTCAAAAAATGTTGCTTCCGACTCGGGTTCTGCCAGACAAAAGAGGAAACTGCAAGGGCCCCTCATAGTCAGAATATGTTTTGGGGCCCAGTAAACTATAGATAGAATAAGGAACCACCAAAACCAAAACCCTATTCCGATTATTAAGGCCCCTACATTACATAGTACCCTTATGGATCCCTTCTGGTAACCCTCAAAGGAACCCCATTCTAATCAGAAAAGCCCCCCAGATTAAAACCACAAAAGCCTGAAGAGCTGCTCGGCCAGTTCGAGTGGCCTCGGTTTAGGGTTTAGGGGTTTAAGGTTTGGGGGTTTAGGGTTTAGGGGTTTAGGGTTTAGGGGTTGGGGTTTAGGGTTTAGAGGCCGCGCGAAAATGCACCAGGATTCCAGAATAAGGACACATAATATAGGTCCAGCCGGCCTTCAATAATCAGAATAGGGCCTTGGGGGGTTCCTTAATAATTTAATACAATTATAGTGCAATAAGGAGACACAATCTAGGGCCTTAATGATTTGAATAGGGTTTGAGATTATATCATATACTATACATTGATATGACTCAATGAGTCAACGGAGACACTCGTAGTATTATAGGGCGCTACTGATTAGAATATAGGGTTTTGGCGGCTCCTTTTTTCTTATTGTACAAGGTTATTATATTACAATGATTCAGCGGAGACACGCGTAGTAAAAAAATTGGGAACCATCGGGATGAACAGTGTCAGAATCAAGATCATCATCCACACTGATGCTCTTTTGCTAGTTATTTACCTTTATCAGACTATCACGTGGGACAGCCAATGTCAGCATGATCACGATCTTGGTCGCGCCCATGATGCTGACGACGACAAACAATCCAACGGCGAAGGATGATGTCCATTGTGTCGACGACGACACGGCCGACAACGATAACGACGATGACGGATTCCTGTAAGTGTATCATCACTCTTTTCAGCTGCCGCACCAAGGTTTTCAACACAGTTGTAAGGCTGGCCTTGCGGTTGCTTATGCACCGCGCAGAGTCTGAGAGGCAGCGCTCAGTAGCAACCCTAAACCGTAAGCGCAAGATTCGGCTAATTGTGCGACGGTGTTTCACGATGTGGGACCCACAGAGCCTATCGCTCCCTGATTACTCCCTGATTAAAAGTAATGTATATCTGTAAGATATACCCTCAAACCCTATTCTAACTAATAGGCCCCTACATTACTGTAACTCGAGTTCTCTGACATTCACCGAAGACGGCAGAGAATGTGTTTGCCTCCTCCGGAGCGGCTGAAGCCATAGCTTGGGGCCCAATCCTTCGAAGGCTTCGGGTTTAGGCCCTTAACGGTTACTAGTTCATGGTTGGGATCGGATTAAAAATGTACAAGTTTATTCCTTAGTGGGCTTAAGTACCAATAAAAATGTGAAATGTTACCAACTATGACAATGGCTAAGGGAGGATTCTGCAGATGTTGAGATGGTTCGGATTTGGCGTTCTTTTCAGGGTGGGTTTAAGCTTGAGAGTTCTTGGGTTGTCGTGGTTTAGAGGGGTGTGGGCGAGCGGTTGAGGCCAGGCTGTTCAGGCTTCAAGCTTGTAACTGTAGGCTCTAGAAAGGTCTGCAAGGGGATATAACACGGACAACCCCTGCTCAAACATGCAAGTTCTCTGCTAAGGAAAGTTTAGGGATTCTTGATTGCAGCTCATGTCAGCCAAGCGCATCACGGCAGAAGGATGCTTCTAAATCCAATCACTCGGCAGGGTGCGAGGGTCCCACACCGGGCCGGGACGACGGCTTAATTCCAGGAAAGAACGTTGCGTGCGGAGCACTTGGACGAGAAAACAGAAAGAAGCCTAAAGAGGTTCAAGGTCCATGATGTGCATAACCAGCGCTACACCCTGCTTGGTTTACGTATTCCTCACAACCCTACGCGACAAGCCCCAAAGGCTGACAACAGTCATTGAATTTGAAACTCTGAAGCCCCAGCCCCAAAAGCTAAAACCGCAGACCGGAGGTAGGTCCTTGCAACCTGACAACTAGAGACAATATTTCGCAGTAGCAATACGAACACTCAGAATAATAAGGACCCTCATACCTATTTGCAGCCCAAAAACTAGTCCATGGCCCCAAGAACCCAAGCTGAGAGGGTGACTCACCATTCGCCCAAAGCCCAAGGAGCGGTTTGCGAGGAAACGCTACCTCGCCAATTCCGTGCTTCCTCTGGCTTGAAACTTTGTCAAGAGTGGTGTTGCAGAGGAGGATCTGGTTTGGTCTCAGGTACGGTTCAGGTTTCAGGGCTTTGGGTTTTAACCGAGGTTTTTGGGTTTCCGGGTTTAGTTTATAGAGTTTAGGCTCGAGACCTTGAGCTGAGGGTTCCTGGGGGCTCTAGACTCTGTTGGTGGTGGTGGTGGTGGTGGTGGTGGTGGTGGTGGTGGTGGTGGTGGTCGCGGTTGTGGTGGCAGCCCTGAGTACCACGTGCAACGGTTGCAGCAGCTGCAGCAGTGCTAATAGTGGCAGTGGTGGTAGAGGTAGTTGTGATGGTGATAGTGGCAGCGGCTGCAGCAGTGGTGATGGTAGCGGTGGTAGCGATAGCGGTAGCGAAATTGTCTCCTAAAGTAATTGTCGTAACTCGGTATATACTCATCGCCATGCAACTTGCCGCCATGCGCAACATGCGGCATTTCACACCGACTATCAATCTTATGATAAAACGACATCCCTCGTCATCATCAACATCATCACCACCACCACATCACCATCACCATCACGATCATCATCACAGTCCCTATCATCATCGTCATTATTCTTATCATCATCATCATCATCACCATCATCATCAACGTCGTCATCATTTCTATCACCATCCCTAACGAACAACACCATCATCAACATGACAATCAACATCACCAACAGCCGCTCGACCGCCACCACCGACATCGCCATGAAGGATCTGCCTTCCTGGAGCACAATTGCCAGAAACCTCCAGGGCTTCACTAACAGTAACCAACATCCTCAAACAGCTCCGACACAGGGCACTTCAAGAAAACAACCAGAAACGTGTCGCTGGGAGTTTTTGAAAGCTAGGACCTGATTTCCGAACCCTGGGCCCGAAGCCCTGCACCGCTTATGTTCAACCCACACTCTCAGATCTGCAGCTCTACAAATGGGAGTTTCCGAAAAATAGGGGACCCAAATATAGTGGCCTACAGAGCAGGATCCTTATTATAAGGACCCCAAAGTAAGGGAACCCATTTTCGGAAACTCCCAAATGTCGCACGGAGCAAAAGGGCTGGCACAAAAAGAACTACCGCGCCTTGAATTGGCTCAGGTCGAGGAAGTCCTCCCCGAAAAACTGACTTCGACGGCCGCAGCAGGTGAACATCACGGCCTAAGGCTGGAGGGTCACTTCTGCAAGGCTTACAAGGCTTCGAGGTTGAGGCTTCGGGGTTCGACGGCCTAGCCCTTCAGGATCTGTGGGAATCAGGGTTTGCGGTTGGGGTTGAAGGGTGTTGGTGATGTCAGCATTTTTTGATGAAGCACACTGTTAAGAGACTCTGAGCCAAGGTCCGCGGTAGCTTAGCCCGAATCCGAAGCCACCTCGAACTTGGCCACTCCACTCCTTGTACTGTGGCGTCGCAGGCGGGCGTTGTCCGAAGTCTGGGTTGCGCTTCAGGAAGAGGTCCTTCTCATGCCAACGCACTTCACTCGGTGCCTGGCCAAAGCCGTCCAAAACTCGATGCATCTCGGCGCGTAGAGGGTGCTGCGAGCCACGACGGATGTTGGTGTCGAGAGCTACCTTGCGGGCCACAGGGAGCAATGCCCGGAAGGCCGCTGGGACTGGTACTGCATAGCCGAGGCGAACATTCCCACACATCTCGCCGCCACTCGTCGAGTCGGAATGGTGTGTATGTGCTGCCAGACCGTCATGGCAGTCTTTAGAGCAAACCAGCTGAATCGGAATCTTCTGCAGCTGCAGGCGACCCATAAACTCCCCATCCTCTGACCACTCCACATCCGGAAAGGGCACAGTTTCCCAGGCGCTCTTGGTGTAGACTAGGGAGAACCCATAGCCGTATTGAAAAGACTCCCGCATCGGACCCTCCACCAACGGGTCGGTCTTGGGGTCGAAGAAGCCAAACTGCTGCTCTTTGACCTCCATCATGTGCCACTCCGAAAGTGTCGCTGCAGCCTTTAATGCTGGAGCTACAACCAGTGGGCCTCCAAATGCACGGAACAGTGCTTCAACCATGCGCGAGAGATAATCCGGAGCATACAAGTCGTCATCATCGAAGTGGGCGATGACGACACCTCTTGCCAAGTGGCCACAGAGGTTGCGCTTAAATCCCAGAGACCAGCCCGTCTTAGGCTTGAAGCACATGCCACGCCTGCGCTTCACGTCTTCGGCCGTTACAAGCGAGAGTCCATCGTCCACTAAGACGGCCGACATGGGGTCTGTGTCGCGCGAGTCATCTACTGTGAAGTGTCGATAGATTACCCTTGAATCGGACTGGGCCTTTTCAAGGAGAAAGGGCGAGGGCCGAGAACCGGTGTCAACCACAACGAGCTCTTTCGGCCCATAGCCTTGCGTACAGAAGTTCTCGTAAAGAAGTGGATGAAAGCCATGTCGCTTCTCGCTTGTCGGGCAAACCACAGACACCAGGTGCTTGCCTTGCGCGGCTCGCCGCTCTTCGTCTCCTTCTCCAGTCCGTCCGTGCAGGCGCGGGTCGAAAAAACCCAGGGACAGAAGGTAGACAGCTGCGTCGAAAACGGGCCATTCCAATGCGGCTGCGGGAATTGTAGCATGCCGGGGCAGTGTCCGAGTTTTGGCACTGCCAATGGCTCGGCCAAGGTGCCGATACGCAGGATCCTTCCGAATCGCTTGCTCGTAGGTCTCGCGAAACGGCCTTGCAGCCTTCTGCACAGCGATCAGCCAGCCGGACAAGTCTAGGTGCTCCTCAGCCGGACAAAGGCAGTTCTGGCACCGAGCACTGAAGCCACGACGCTTCTCCTGGTAGCCCCTCATCTTCCTGTCGTAAGCATGTCTACGGTCGTCTATCGTCGTGGTTGTGTCCGGACCACCCCACTCGATCGACGAAAGGGAAGTGAACCTCCAGAGGTTGCAGCGCTGGCAGCCACGACAAGCTCCGCGGACAATTCCCATGTAATCAGTGTTGAGTAACGGTTCTGTTTCCCCTTCCTCCGGCTCCCTCCTCCTTCGCACCAGTTCGCGGCCAGCAGCACGGAGGCTGACCCATCCACGCCGGGGCCCCTCGCCCGAGATGAGCTCGAAGCAGAGGCGGCCCTCGCAAAGCTCCAGCTGACGAAGCCTGGAGCAAGTTGTCTGAAGAGTGAAGACAGTAACAGTAGCAATATCAATAGCATGCCATACACTCTACTAGTACAAACCAAAAATCTCTACCATCGTCATCATGGTTTTAGTATTCATTACTATTCTTACAAGTATTGCTGTTCTCTTATGAAGATGAATATGCTTATGGTAATAACCCAAGCCTGGAGCCGATTCCCAGGCGTAGAGCCAGTGGAGCAGAACCCAGCTCGCGACCGGTCCTCACAATAATGCCCTCGGGATTCGTGCCTCCGACAACCTCCCATTCCTCTTCTCCTCAGGCTATTTTCAAGAAACTGTAGTTAAGGTGGTTGAACTCATGAAATTGCCATGTTAGGGATGGCTATACTGCAAAGAAGAGCTTGTTTGGTCTATGGCGGCAACTTACTTTAAGCTGCTTAACAAGACCCCAGTCTCTGGACTCTTCGGGTGCCGCCTCCTCAGCTCGCACCAGAAGCTCCTTCCCAGCAAGGGCCACAGAAACCCAGCCAGAGCTGGGGCCTTGGCCTTCTTCCAGCCGATATTCGAGCCGCCCCTTCAGCAGTTGAAGCTGTCTCACCTGCAAAGGTGAATGCTTAAGCCCCTGACCCCTAGCAGCCTGCAAGGCTTTCCTGCCTACTTATACGCATGTATGTATGTCGGTATGTCAGTAAGTATGTATGTATACGTATATATATATATATGTATAAATACACGTATTTATTTATTTATTTCTCTACTTTGCTGACTAGTAACTTAACTGTCTGCTTAAACTTTCGAAGCGTTAACCAATTCACGAGCTGACTTATCGAGTCCCTGTCACTGATCTTCGGATCTGACAAAGCCCTAAACCCTCTAAACCCGGAGCCCTAGCCCTTAAACCCTTAAACCTTTAAGCTTTACAAACCCTAAACTTCTTAAACTCCCTAAAACCCCTAACCCTTTAAGCCCTTAAGCCCTTAAAATTAGCCTAAACTCCCTCAAACCCCTAAACCCTTAAGCCCTCAGGCCCTTACTTAAGCCAAAAACCCTTCAACCCCTGAAATCCTGAAACTTCCTAAACTCCCTAAAGCCTCCGAAATCCTGAAACCCTAAACTCCCTAAAGCCTCCGAAATCCTGAAACCCGAAACTTCCTAAACTCCCTAAAGCCCTGAAACCCGAAACCCGTCGCCTTGGCCCCCAGGCCCAAACGCTCCCGGAGCGCTTGAGACTGGAGCTCGGGTCCGACTCTCACCTGAAGCTCTTGCTTAGGGCTTAGGGGGGGTTGTAGGGTTCTAATATTGCTAATATTATTGTTATTAATATTTATTCACTATTGTTATTGTTATTATTATCATTATTATTATGTGGTTATTTTTTTTTGGGGGGGGGAAGTGGGTGTTTAGGGTTCTAGGGTTTAGAGCTTAGGGTTATAAGGGCTGAAGCTCTTGCTTTTGGCTCGTAAGGTTTTTGTCTTTGGGGTCTGGGGTTTAAAGGGTTTAGTGGCTTTTTCGGTGTTCTGAAGCTCTTATGCTTAGGGCTTCGGGCTGTTCGGGCTGTAGGTTTTATGATTTTTCTTTGAGAGGGACTGGGGGCTTAGGGTTTTAGGTTTAGGGGCCTTTTTCGGTTTAGAGGGGTTTGGGGTTTAAGGTGGAGGGACCGACCCTGAGCTTGTGATCTTTGTTTACAAACTGTAGGGTTTAGGGGTTTAGGGTTTACAGTTATCCTACTTACAGCCCTACTTACAATTACCCGGGAGCTTCCAAGTAATTATTCCTTAACGAACAATCCAAGGGTAAAAGGAGGGACTGTTAGTGAGGACCCCTAGGTATATACCCTTAATATAGCTATGATATAGCCATTATATAACCCATTTTTGGGTAGGGGTCCCCATTAAGGGTCCCTCCTTTTCCCCTTTGAAACAACCTAAACCCTAAACCCCTAAACCCTTTATAGAACCCATTATAGATCCCGTTAAGGAACCCTATATAAGGGTCCCTGCTTTTCCCGCCTACGGGTAATTGTGTCCTTAACTAGGAAGCACTCAGTCGCCAGAATGCCATCGGGGTTGGAGCCTCCACAGACAATCCACAGGGGTGGCTGGCTCTGCTGCAGGCTCTCCATAATATCGGGGCCGTAAGAATTCGCGGTGTCCCTGTTTAAGGGGTCTACAGTATAGGGGCCTGAATAACTAGAATAGGGTTTTGGGGCCCACTATACCATAATTATCATAAGGAGCCCCCAAAACAGTATTGGTAACTATTTAGGCCCCTATGTTACTGGCTCGGTGCGAGGCCATCCTGCTGGAGTCTTCGACATTGGCAGGGGGGTGTCGAGCAGAAGTGGCCACGACATACATGCAGCATGTGACTGTGGGGAAAAGCCTAGGGGTCTATAAGGATTACTACAACAAGGGGTATGATGGGGTGTATTATAGGGGCCTTCAATAGGGTTTTGAGGCCCCGTGCTGTCCGACTTTTGACACCATAGCCTGCATGAGAAGGGAAGCCAGACACAGAAAGGTCCAAACCTGTTGAGATTGAGGCAGTCGGGTCGTGGTTTTGACCTAGACCCCCAAAAGTAGGTACAATAATGGCCCAAAACCTATGACAGGCTATTATTCTACGTGCGAATACTTTTGGGGTCCAGGGACAGCCCTTTCCCATCCGCCCTGGCTGACGTAAGAAGTACAAAATCGCAGGAGCCTCTTCATCGGGACCTGGTTACTTCCATGGAGGCTGTCGGGTCTGGGAGTCGGGCTTTGCTTGGGCTGCTTTAGGGAAGTGGCACGGAATGTGCTAACCGAATCGGAACAGACTGATACTGATAGCCATCATCAGTAGGATACTAGCAGCAAGAGTATAGCAAGCAACTAGTAGCAAGCGTAACACTAGCAATGACAATGATAATCGTGGTGGTGCTGAATCACGAAGAACCGAAGTACTACCCTGATGAAGGCTCAAGTACAAAGGACAAACAAATTATCGTCCAATTATCCATCATAGTTGTGTTCCGGTGGGAGGGTTGACCTGCGACTCTTCTGTTCGACCTTCGATACTTGCCGGGTCTGTGGCTCTGGGACATATAGGTAATGACGTGCATCTTGGTGCATCTTTCTTCAGGGTGATCGCAAGGCGCAATCTTCAACAATGCCGCAGGCTGATCAGCTTTGAACCAATCTCTGGGCAGCTGGAAAATTTGGAGACACCGTCCCACACTGCACAGCCCAATGGGATACTCAGCAGGTGAACGCATCTGCTGAGATCCAACGAGCTGCGACTTCTTTACATAAAGCGGACATCGAGCTTTCATCCTCCAGTCCCTTCACTCTTCATGTGGGTAGCTGTCAAAAATATGGTCCGTTTTTGGGTACCCTATATATTAAGTGCCGTAATATAATAAGGACCCAAAAAGGTACCATAATTTTGACAACCACCCATGTAACATCTCTAACTCGAAAGCCCCAAGCCCCAGAGGCCCGAAGAAGGGCGATGAAAGGCTGAAAACTCGGAAACTTGTGCGGGGGAACCCCACGCCTTCCCCCGACTCACCAAAGCTGATGTCGCGCAGGATCGAAGGGTGTCAGGTCCACGCAGGTGGAATGCCCATCCAGGATCTCCTACAGGAAACTCACAGTTCATACTTCGGTCTTCGGGGGCCGCGGACTCTAAAATCATCCAGCTCCGGAAATTCGTGAGGTTTGGCAGTGCTGTGTACCCAGGAGGACCGAGATCAAGCTAGTCGTCTGCAAGAGTTTTTTGCGACTGCGCCGTGACGGTGCAGATGAAGCTCTCAATCCGTACCTATCACTCAAAGACGCCCTAAATTCACAAATACCACTCCAAAACGCCATGCGCGTATGCCGCACAGATGCTTCGGAAACGTCCTGGGTAATTGCTCGGACACCTTTTGAGTAAGCACACCTCCAAGGGCCCTTGGCTCACGCAGCTTCCCCACCCAAGGCTTATTCCCGGTCCTCGGCAAGTGCCTTGCCTGTGATGGGACCACAAAGAATCCTCAAGGCACGCTCGGCTGAGTCAGCGTGAATCGACGGCTTCAAAAAACCAGCACAGGCAAGTCGGCCAACAAAGTCTGTCACCTACAGAACCTTGGCTCATGCTAGGGGAGGTTGGATGCACCTAAACCCAATATTTAACTAAACCTATTGAAATCGCATCACCATCAACTTCGTACATCCGATCACGCCTTGCAGCTAACCCCGAACGCATCAGCCCAGCTGCCCGTACGCGTTGTGGCCACAGGCGACGTAAGCCGTGCCCCCGTAGCCTGGAATTCGTCCAATCCTGAGGAGTACTCAAGAGAGGTGAGGCTCCTGCCTGTGTCTGTGTGTGTGTGTGTCTGTGTGTCTGTCTGTGTGTGTGTGTGTGTGTGTGTGTGTGTGTGTGTGTGTCTGTGTGTGTGTCTGTGTGTGTGTGTGTGTCTCTGTGTGTGTGTGTGTGTCTGTGTGTCTGTCTGCGTGTGTGTGTGTGTCTGTGTGTGTGTGTCTGTGTGTGTGTGTGTGTGTGTCTGTGTGTGTGTGTCTGTGTGTGTGTGTCTGTCTGTGTGTCCGTCTGTGTGTCTGTCTGTGTGTCTGTCTGTGTGTCTCTGTGTGTGTGTGTGTGTGTGTGTGTGTGTGTGTCTGTGTGTGTGTGTGTGTGTGTGTGTGTGTGTGTCTGTGTGTGTGTCTGTGTGTGTGTGTGTGTGTCTGTGTGTGTGTGTGTGTGTGTGTCTGTGTGTGTGTGTCTGTGTGTGTGTGTGTGTGTGTGTCTGTGTGTGTGTGTGTGTGCGTGTCTGTGTGTGTGTGTCTGTGTGTGTGTGTGTGTGTGTGTGTGTGTGTGTGTGTGTGTGTGTGTGTCTGTGTGTGTGCGTGTGTAATTAACGTGTATACATACACCTATATATATATATATACACAATAAGTATGACATATAGCAGGTCTATATACAAGAATAGGTTCCAATACAAAGACATACACATATATATATATATATATATATATATATATGTATGTATATATATATATATATATATATATTATATGCATATAGGACATGACTTCGTGCTGTGGTTCTCTGCGTGAGTTATATCTCCGTATCAGCTACGAGTACCGGGTTCGGAGTCCACAAATCTCGTGAACGCTTGTCCCAAAAAGAAGATGCACAGCGGAATCTCGCGGCCGACATTCGTCAATGTTCCATGGTTGCAGCATATACAACTCTGGCTGGGCTCATTCATACAGGCCGACAGCACTCGCCAACCAATCTTAAGAACACACTGGTTCAACGAGCCCTACCACCCGTATTATCCGCAAATGAGCTGCATCGGTGCGCGGTTCGTCATGACGGAGCGCACACCCGCTCCTGTCGACTTCGGCGCCTCGGAGGAAGCTACACACAAGCTCTCTCCTGTTGATGTGGGCACATTGAAAGCCGGCTGCTAGAACATGGGAGGAATCCACTCCACTTCGAAAGGCATCTCAGGAGGCATACTTTGAAACGTTGTCTGAATGGGTTGGTCTTGATTTAGGCCTGAAACGCGTGGACTCCTGGACCACTAAGCCACTAAGCTTTACATATCATACAACTGTGTCCGGGACCTCACCGCGAGTCAGCGACGACAATCGCTCGAAGGCACTGCGACCAGCCTGCGAAAGATTACTATCCAGAGGCGATTGAGCGTCTGACAGGAATCTGGCATGTCAGACATGACCGCCTCAAGATCCTCTTGGACAGGAAGCACATCCTTCAATGCGCAGAAAGTAGGGTGAGCAACGGTGTGAGGACTCACATACAACCCCGGCCATGTGAAATGACGTCCTCAGGGTTGAGTTGTCGAAGGTCCTGACCAGTCAGCACCTCACACGAGTCATGAAATCCGTGCATCGTTGATCAGATTTCCTTGGAAGTTCATGGGTAGTTTGTCACCGTAGGTTATGGCCATATAGTGCTCCGTAAATCCTAAACCCCTGAGCCCCAATTACTCATGTCTGCCCATGAACCTTTTCATGTGGGTGGTTGTCAAAATTATGGCCCCTTTTTGGGTACCCTAAACATAAGGTGCCGTCTTATAATAAGGACCCCAAAAGGGACCCTAATTTTGACAACCACCCATATAGAGATACTATACAGGGGCTTATACGGTCCCTTTATGGGATATAAGGGCTCTACTCATAATAGGGTTCCTTTAAAGGGGACAACCACCCATGTAAGGAGCTGAAACTTCAATCCGTACGGAGCTGAAACGCCTCTCGCCGACTCTCCGGGCCCTCAGTGCCACCCTATCTTTCTTACATAAATATACTATACCATAATAGACCATTATATGCACATATATATATACACATCATAACATACTATAATAGACCATTCATGTACTATACAGTTACGAATAAGCCCGGAACCTGAAACAGTGCAGCATACGGCACGCTTAAACTGCAAAGCAAGGGAGTACCAAAGGGGAAAAGGAGGGACCCTTAATGGGGACCCCTACCCTATAGTGGGCTATATAATGGCTATATCATAGCTATATTAAGGGTATATACCTAGGGGTCCTCATTAAGGGTCCCTCCTTTTACCCTTGGAGAGTAGCACCCTCCAAATGCCTTGTGTCCGCCCTGCACCCCGAGGCAGCTGACCTGGTATCCAGGTGGGGTCGGGCTTGGAGGAGTCTTATGAGCTTTTTAGGGTTTAGGGTTTAGGGTTTAACAGTTACGGGTTTAGGGATGTTTAGGATATACGGCCAGCTTTGGGTGTAGGAGAGTGAAGAACTTGATCACATTTGCAGTGACTGTGCAACAAATTAGTATATATTTATATATATATATATAGGGTGCATAATGAGGTGCAAAATCGGAGATTCGGCAGTGAAGCACTGTAGTCAGCCACTCGACAACAGCGTCAAACGGCATCTCGTTATATGTACGTCTGCCGCGTACATGTATGCATGTATTCAGATGCATGCATGCATGCATGCATGCATGCATGCCTGTACATACAGGTAGGTATATATGTACGTAGGTATCTATGTATGTCATGCGGCAATCTGAAAATGGGCGGTGAAGTTGAAGGGTAATTGCCGTGTCCTACAATGACGAAGCTAAATGAAACGGTGTTCGACACCTTGCTCAGGCCTCTCCAGCGCTCTTTCATTCTGACTCCAGGCACTGGAATTACCTGTGCTCCATCACCTCCTAAACTCCGGACCCTCGCCTGCCCATCAGCTCGAGCAGTGACCATGAGATCGCGGCCCTCGTCATCCTGCCATGAAAGCAAAAGCACCAAAGGGGCATCGACTCCACCAAGAGTGCAGTAGCGCATCACAGTAGCCCTCGCCTGCTTTTATCGACCTCCGGTAGGCGTTAAATTTGAAGATGCTGACCAGGCTCTACACCGAAGGCCCCCTCCAGCCCCAGAAGCTAAAGCATGCAGAAAGACACCTGCTGAGAGATGGCGATGGCGCTGTGCACGCTGCCGGCAGGCCGATCCTTGGTCTCGGAGTTCTGGGGTTCTGTCACGAATTTAGGGGCTGTGGTGAAAGCTGAACCTAATGCGTCAGATCGCAGAAGCAGTACGGAGATCCAGCCATTCTGCTGTGCAAGCGACGTGCTTGAGGATGATCTGGGCACTTAATGCAATCATCTTATCTCATCATCGGATATGAAAACTGATCACCGTGGCGGATCAAACTCAACGTTCGTCGGACTTGGAGGTTCATGGGTAGACATCATATGGGTCACAAGTGGGGTAACAAAGTTCATTATACTTGTGACCTATGTTAGGGGACTTATAACACCACCCATAACTACCCATGAACCTTCAAGTATAGCCCTTATAGAAGTCTTATAAATCCTTAAAGTAAGGAGCCCCCAAGAAAACGGAACAAGCTTGAGTCGGAGGCGAGGTCAGCGAGCTAAGATTTAAAGAAGAGCAGCCAATATTAATATGCAGCAGCACTTACGTAATATGAATATATACTCAGACATCCTTATATACTTATATGTGTATACTACATTGTTACTACATGTATGTATATACACACATACTTATCTATGTACTTATTTATGCTTTCACAAGCAGCCGCTTTCGGCCAAACGCTAACCTTGCACCTCCTTTTCTACTTCTTAAGCCTGGACACATAGAAGGCCATCGAGCCCAGAGTTCCAAGGAGCGGCACGCGAAAGCCGTGGAACCAGTCCTGGTGCACATGACGGTCTAGATGGGAGTTTCCGAAAATAGTGGACCCTAATATAGTACCCTAGTTCGTAGAACCCACATTATACGGACCCCCAAATAAGGTACCTCTAATTTTCGGAAACTCCCAGATTGGGTTTTTGAGGTTGAGAGTTCGGGGGGGTCTGAATGTTGCGAGGCCGTGGCCGTGAGTGACCCTAATATAGGGGCCCAAATAATTAGAATAGGGTTTTGGGGCCAATGTTTCTATAATCATTATAAGGAACCCCCAGAATAGTATTGGTAATTATTTAAGCCCGTATACTATGTCAACCTTAGTGTCAAAAGCAGGGCTGCAGTACAACTTTCGAAGCACTACTTCCGCCTCACACCTGTACATCTTGAACAACCGCACCAACCTGCAGTTTCGAGAAACCGCGGCCACCTGGAGCCTACATCCACACCCGCAGATTACCCAAGTTCGCCTCACACTACCCAACAAGTCAAGTCTTTAAATCACAGTACGAAGCTTTTTCAATCGAACTCAGGCACGTTCCTTACGACACGGGTGTTGAGCTCCCTCGGACAAGAAGGCCTCCGCCAACACCGACCATGGACCCATGGCGACGACCGCCACGTCGCACCGCTCGACGTCGTCATCAATGTGGATTCCTGATCATGGTCAAGATTCCAAAGACGTAGGATCGCAACCCTACACTTCAAACCGTACTACAGGGGATGCAGTGCCCAGACAGGCTCCGGTGCAGGGCGAGACCGTTTCATCTGACAAGACAGCTCCGGTCTCCCATCATCTCATCTCAACACGCGAATAGAATTGAGGGCTCGCTGGCCTTTGAGCTCGGCATCATGCAGCCCAGAACGATGTAAAAGAAAGAACACTAAGTACTGCATGCAGGGCGCCAGTCAAGCGATGGTTGCCCCAGTCGCTGGCTTCTTCGATGCCTGAGCAGCATCTCTCTTGGCGAGGGCGAGCCGATATGGAGTTTCCGAAAATTAGGGGTACCTTATTTGGGGGTACTTATAGTAAGGATCCTAATATTTCGGGTACTAGATTAGGGTCCCCTATTTTCGGAAACTCCCATATGACCGTTGGGGCGTCAACACCCGTGGAGCAAGCCCAAACTCCGGGCCGAACACGTCCGAACAGAACATCCCCGAATTGAAGCCGGAAAGTCTTCATACTTCAGAGTCTAGACTTGAACCATGCTCGGTCTTGCAGCATTGCAAGGCCTAGACCACGCAAGAACGCTAAACGTCACATCGAAAGACGATACCATAGACCCCTGACCTTCAAGCGAATCCTGACTTTTTACGAGCCCGGTTTATCCCTGCTTCCTCGTGATTGAAAGACCCAATGGCTAAAGCCCTTCGCAGGGAGTCTTCTAAAGCCGACACGATCTCAACCCAAACTTCAAGCTCTGGAAACCATCAAACACCAATCCTCGGCAACCCTAGTATGCATCAACTTTGGTAAATATTCAAGTCCAAACACTATCGTTTTAGTAAAAGACGACGACTGCTTTGGCTCACCATGATTACTGCAAACAGCTGTGCTTGTTTTTACTTATTTCTCTTCTTATGATTCTCGTGTGTTTTATTACGACTGTTCCTATGACACTCCTGTTGTTTATATTTGTTAAGACAATTCCCCTAACCACTAAACCAAACCCTAAACCCTCAACCCCTAACCCCCCAACCCCACCCCACCCCGTCCCATCCTCGCACGGCACCGGGCCGGAGCTCTGCTCCTGAAGCGCCAAAGAGCGCCGAAGTCAGCTCTGAGGGGTCCTGGACCGAGGCTTACGGTGGTTTGGCAGGGTAGGGTTAGGGTTTAGGGCCTGTCAGGGCGTGCTACTACTATTATTATTATTACTATTAGTATTATTACTATTACTACTATTATTATTACTATTATTATTATTACTATTACTATTACTACTACTACTACTACTACTACTACTACTACTGCTACTACTACTACTACCTGCTACTACTACCTGCTACAGGGTATAGAGTTCAGGGGCTATAAAGTCCCTTTGCAGGGGTACATAGGGTTTAGGGTTCAGGGCTTACGGGCCTGTTTTTGGTTGACGGTTTAAGGTTACAATTAAGGCTGCGGGTTGATAGGGGTTCTAAAAGCAAGTGCTTGTAGACGAGCAAGCACCAGCATGAAAGCGACACATTTCCGAGGAATCCAGCTGGACAGTTCAAAGATGAACTACAGTAGTCGCCGCTTTCAGCCACTTTCACCATCACTGCTACCACCACCCCCGCCAATCTCAACCAATTTCATCAAAGCAGCAACAACAGGTGCACAAAGTCGTCAGAAGAATCAAGCGGACGATCAAGAGAGGCAGAAAAGACAATCCGTGAACCCTAAACCAAAAACAGTAAAACCTAAGCCCAAACCCGAAAATGTGACCCATGCCTCATACTAATTTTGCAAGGTGTTGGGGGTGCTAAGGCTCACTGGAATCACCTTAGGTTTAGGGCAACGCCCTCGGAACCCTAAACCTCAAGCTAAACCCTAATAAAACCTAAACTCTGACCAGAACCCTTCTTATTGTATAATTGTTCCAAGTTAGGTATGTCGTTTCATTTTCTCATTCTCAGATTGTAGAATGCAGGCAAGACGCCACTTGCGCGGCCTCGCCAATCTCTTGGGTGATGCTGACCTGCCCAGGCTTCGAGTATGGGGATTAGGTCTGAGTAGGTGCTTAAGGATTTACCTCTTTAGGGCCTTTCCGAAGGTTTTGGTGGGGGGGGGGGGGGTCTTTAATCTCAAGGCTAATTAAGGCTTGGGGTTCAGGATTCCGGGGGCTAAGCCCTACGGGTGGCATCGCAGTGTGTGATCTGAAAAGCTGGCGAGATGTGAACTGGATATATACTGCCCCCACTTAGTGACATATGGGAGTTTCCGAAAATAAGGGTACCTTATTTATCCTGATAATAAAGATCCTACTATTTAGGGTGCTATATTCGGGTCCAGCTATTTTCGGAAACTCCCATATGTTAGGCCAAAATAGTAGCACTACTCTGGTGTGTTGCTCTATGCGGGCAGTAATCGGGATATAAACCGCAAAAACCCGTCAACCCCATTTTGAGCTTCGACGGGGGCTAAGGGTTTATAGGGTCAAGATACCCCCCCAAGATAAACCTGCAACCAAACACCCGAAACCCCGAAAGCCTAAAGCTCGGCAGACTACCCCGAAAGCTCGAATGGCTGGCCAGTGCCTGAGGTTAGGCATCTATTTTTCTAAACAACAGATCCTAACCATAAGACTAGGTATCCCAAAAAGGGGTAGAGTATGAGCCTCTAGGCAAGGAGGTGTTATGTTCCATTTATCCGTATTCTGGGATTGAGGGTGGCGGCAATACCAACGTTCCAACACTCCGGCTTCCACCTTAAGCAAAAGGCCAAACGCCCAGAATGCTGACTTTTAAACCCCTTGTAGCAGCCATATAGAACTCTATGAAACCCCCATGGAACCCTCATGAAACCCTTCTTGTATAGATCCTGGCGGTCCTCATATAAACCCTTCTACGGCACGAAACACCTTTCGAAAACTCTTGTGTAGAGCCCCGAAAACCCTCCAGATCCTCAGGGCTCTGCTCGCCTCGCCATCGAGCCACGGAGCGGTGCCGGCCGGCGCCCCAGCGCTGGAGTCGGGCCTCTCGAAAGATGAGAAGAGGGGGACATGGGAGTGTCCGAACATTAGGGGTACCTATTTTGGGGTCCTTCTGATAAGAATCTACTATATAGGGTATTACATTAGGTACCTATTTGGGATCCTTCTGATAAGGATCTACTATTAGGGTACTATATTAGGTACCTATTTTGGGTCCTTAGAATAAGCATCTACTATTTAGGGTATCATATTAGGCTCCCCTTTCTTCGGAAACTCCCACATCTTCATTGTCCTTTTACTGAGTTGCTACTGAGTACTGCATGGTTTGGCCTGGCCTCACCAGCCAGCCGGGAAGGGGCTTGTAAGACTTGAGTTCCAGCTCGGCAGCCAATTTACCTGAGTTCGAGAGGTACGAAGAATCGGAACACGCCGTGCAGCGTAGATTCTCGACATAACTGTCTCCAAGGGTAACTAGGATCAGGGCTCATGCAGGCTGGGTCGTATTGCAGGGACACCCTGAAAGCTCCTGCAGCCGGACTGCGCATTTCCAGGAAGCCTCTGTCGTGGAGCTGATCGTCCAGACCGTTGTGAAACTCGCGCGGAAGAAAGCCTGGCAGGCACACGGGAGCTAGACCTGAGCTCTGCAACGGCCAAGCTAGCAGACTTCTTAAGCAGTTGCCTGAACCTCAAGGCTCCATCTGAATCCGACTACCTAGCAGCAGGCTGCGACGACGATTGATGAACAAGCAATGGCACAGAGCAGGATGGTATCAATAGTGACGTCAGCCTGCCGCCACGCCGGTGGCAGCCTCACCCACGCCTGACACTCGACTTCACATAAAGCTCCTGTTTACAGTTTACAGGGACAGACTTTGAAACTACTGCAACACAACAACGCAATACTGACAAAGGTCAGGGCACTACGAACTCATTTGCTAGCAGGAAGTTGTACAACAGCTTTATGCATGGATGGCTTGGCTTCGCTGTCTCCTTCTCCGGCGCCCCACACACACGTCCCGAATGCCGCGGCATCACATGTCTCTACCGCAAGACCTCAAGTTAAGAAGGCACTCTTCCAGCACCTGTGCTGAGCACAGAAGGACATCACTCCCAGTTTGCAACAAAAGGCGTCCAGAATCTCCTAGCAATTTGGCAATCTCCCTAAATCTTAGTCTCAGAAAAATGCATGGCCCAGTCTAGAAGATGTCATACACACATTGAGGTACAGTCCACTTCACTATCCCAGAACCCCCCCAGGCTCCTCCGTCAGTCTGATGTCAGCCCGCGACTTGAAGCTCATACCCTAACCCCAAGCCCAAGTCAAAGCCTTAACCCCTAGTTGATTAAACCTTAACCTCCAAACCCCACAATAAGCCCTGTAATGTTTTTGGTCCTGGGTTCGACCCATCCCCCCCACCATAGTCTTTCCCAAGCAAGTGTCACGCAAACTCGATACCGCCCCGCACCGGCAGGGGCCGTGGAGGGTCCTCCAACCAAAACCACACCCGCATTGGTTGGGGAGGAGGGGGCGGCCCAGCCGAAGCAGGATCACATATCATACCAACCCTAGCCCACTTAATCCGCATGCAACCGTAGCCTAAAGAGCCCTTATTCCTTACTAGAACTATAGTGTAATATAATCCCAGAACCCTATATAAACCGTAATATGAACCCTAAAGCCCCGCCTTTCCGGTCGACCACCACAGTCTTCACCTGCCGCTTCCGGGCCTCTCCAAGCCTGCCGACGATTTGGGGGAAATATGTGAGCCTTAATATAAATAGAATAGGGCTCCTTTAAACAATTCCTTTAACGTTTATGATTAGGGTTTTCAATATAGGGGCCATAATAATTGGAATAGGGTTTTGGGGTATATCATACCATAATTATATAATAAGGAACCCCCCCAAGTAGTATTGGTTACTATTCAGGCCCCTACATTAAGGCTGTGGGATCTTAGTGTTTTGGGGCTTATGGTTCTAGAAGGTTTGGGCTTAAGGGTTTTGGGCTTTAAGGTCTTCTGTGAGGATCTGATTCGGATTAACGGACTACTGTCTAAGGCTTGGGATCTTGCCGTTTTGAGCTGGGCTTTGAGGTTCGGGGCTGAGGTGATTTATGGAGAAGATATCAGGTGTCGGGCGAAGGTGCAGCGGTTTAGGATGCCCGAATTTGTTTCAGTATTCAGGGCTTCGGATTGGATTTGCAAAATCAGGATTCGCACACAGGAAAGTGATGGCGGACAGGTCTCGGAACGAACCGCATCAACTTACTCCAATCCGTAATTAGCTTCGCACCTCCAGAGGTAGTAAGCTGTGGAGCACCCAACAACTCCTGCGCCACAGATTACCTTGGACAATAGGGTTTAGGGATTAAGGCACAGATTACCTTGGACAATTGCTGCAGCCAGTGGTTCAAAATTTGAGGGACAGTTGTCAGACCTGTGACATCGTCACAATAACCAGATTCGTCGCAGTAGCCAATACATTGCAATGAAACAACAAACCGAAAGACCCACATAGTTCGTACAGGTGGGTATTCTTCATAGTGTTCATGACCATCCTAACGATACCAGAACTGTCTGGAGTAGTGCTGTGGCCGAAGAGCTCAACAAGTTCTACGCGACTGGCTTGAAGTGCATGCTTCTCCCTTCGTGCGCAGGCTGACTGCTGATAGGAATTTCCACCAAGTAGAGTTACCTTGCTTGAAATGTACCAATACCAATATATCATGATTACATCTATGCAAACTATGTGTGTGTATATATATATATATATATATATACAGCTACATATACATTATTCTCCTACTGCATTTGAATGTCTCTTTGGCTCTCCTCTTGATGACTGCAAATGCCAGATCGGCGATGGAAGAGCAAACGCTTCTTGTGGCTCCTCTGAGCGCACCGTACCTCAAGCCAACATTCCTAGTCCTAGTGTTGAACTTTTTCCAACTCGCAGCCATGATGCAATGCTATGGCCCTGGATGAGAAGTTTTCATGATGCATATAGTTCTTGCAGCTGTGTGGCCACACGCAGTGGTTCGTCAGCACCTCCGTCACCACCTCGCGCAGCGCGCGCGACTCCTGGGTAGGCGAGCGTGCTCAGCAAAGGTAAGTAAAGCCGTCATTCCAAGCAATCTCAGAGAGAGAGAGAGAGACGGAGAGAGAGAGAGAGAGAGAGAGAGACTCTGGCAGACAGATCGCGAGCGGGCGAGAGAGAGTACCACCATACCGTACAACACCCACGCACAGAGACGGAAAATGCACACGCACACCGCGCATAAACACATGCAGATCAACGCAAACAGAATTACCGATGTTTTCAGGTGCTGAAGAGAGACAGTGCAGCCCTGCGCTATGCCTGGCCATGCGATTCCAGCCAAGGATCGGCGATGTCTTGGAAGGAGTCGATGTTGGGGTTTTCCCGTCTGCAAAACCTTGTCAGAGTCAAAGCGCATCACTTTACTGCTTTTGTGGATGAAGCCAGAGCTCTGGTCTTGGCTTTTAGGGTTGAGGGCTCTGCCTAACACTGGTCAAGTGTTTGCAGAAAAGAGCCTGGGGTCCTGCCTGAACGACGTCCGATGAAAAGCCCAGGACAGTGTGGATGGATTTGTCCAAGTTTCGCCGCGGAAGTAAGTAAGAGCACTGAGAGCGGCGGGCTTGCTAATATCACTATTACTGTTAATAGTACTATTACCATTGTTACTATTGTTATTGTTACTTTTCTAGTGCTGACCATCATTACTATTACTATTGGTATTATCATTCTTGTTGTTCTTACTATTACTATCACAGGTATTTATTAGTTTCTACCAATAGTAGCATTAGTATTATTAGATGTACTCTCGTCATGACTATGACTATTGGTAGCATATGGCTTGTTGCTCTATTGTCAATAATCTCCGTACTCGTCTTAGTGTTTTAGTATCGTAATGAATTGTGTTTGTAGCTTTGCCTTTCGCTCTGTTTTTCTCTCAAGCGACTCAGTGCAAACAAAGGCACCACGGTCGAGAGGCCGAGCCGAGGCGGAGAGTGCCGCGGCCATGGCGATACCGAAGGCTCCATGGCGAAGCCAGGGGTTTAGGGTTTAATTAGGCTTTAATTTTAGGGTTCAGGGTTTGGGTGGGGCAAGGCTCTCTTGCTTCAAGTATGGCTCCTTTGAGGTGGTTGGAGAGGGTTTTGCGACCTTCCTTCCACGTTCGCTAGGCCGGTTGGGGGACTAAATTCTTCGGGGCATCGAGAGCTATATCGAGTGCTTCATGACGGGTCACGACAGTGGTGAGTCCGAAAATCGAAGAGAACCCTGATGATACTTCTGGCCTTTGTGAGCCTATTTCTGGCTTGAGGCTCAACGGCCTATTGCAAGGACTGCACGGCGCCCCAGCACCCTCCACTCGGAACCGCAACTCAGGTGCAGTTTCGAGTCCGAGGTCTCCGTATCCTTAGGCCAAGCCACTGAGATCCCAACATGTCTGAGTATCGTTTTCGGTGGCCCTCCTGAACATTACCCAAAGGCTGACCAAAACACATAAATGTAGTGTGTGTGTGTGCGCATGTATGTGAACATATACATAACAAAATATAGCATGATACGTCCTAAACCATAGACCCTCAACTCTAAGCCCTAAACTAAACCCTAAACGCTAAACCACCCAAAAAATCTAAACCCCAAACCCATAAACCCCTAACCCCCAAACCCTACACCCCTAGCCCCAAACCCCTAGTCCTCCAATTGCCCGATTGAGGCCCCGGCTCCGAGAATCTCTTCCTCCCGCTCCTCGGACTCTTGCGATACAAGAAAGAGCTTTCTGGTGGGAAATAAGGGATTAGGGTTTGTGGGGATAGGGGCTTAGGGTCTAGGGGAAGAGGGGTTTGAGGGCTTAGGGTTTAGGGCTTAGGGTTCAGGGTTTTGGGGATTTAGGGGATTCGGGTTTAAAGGTAGAGTGTTGGGGTTCGAGGCTTGGGGTTTAAGGTTTCTGGGGGGATGACTATAAGGCCAAGAAACCAAGTGGATTACCACATGGTTTCGGAAACTAGGGGGATTGCTGCAAGGGTTTGAGGTTTAGGGCAATACGTGGATTGCTCTAAGGGTTTCAGCAACAAGGGGATTCCTATGAACGTTGCGAAAGCTCTTCGATAAGGCTGATTTTCGATCTTTCAGAGAGGTTACTGTAAGGGCTACTATAGTAAAGATCGCACTATGGTTTATATGAGGCTGGAGCCTCATATAAGGGTTAATCTATTGGCTCTCGTAAGAGTTCTCGAAGGGTTTTCGGCGAAAGGGGCGGCAATAGTCCGCGGAACAAAAAGTTCGCGAAATCAGCAACAACAGTGTTGGTGCGGCAGCCACTGCGATGATAATGACAACTCTCGGTAAACCAATAAACAGCAGCGGGGTACTGCGGTTGAGAGTTTAGTCGTAAACAGCGTGCCATTAGACGGGCAATAATGGGCAGGGTTGTTGAACATCCAATCAACATTTGGAAACAACATGTGGATTTAGGGTTGAAGGGTTTCGGGTTTGAGGTTGTTGGGTGCTTAAACTTCTGGGGCTGAAAGCCATAAGGATATAAGGCTTTGGGGTTTTGCGGTTTGGGGAATTAGTCCTCATATCAACCTGGAAGATCCGATTCTGCGGAGAAATCGGTCTCCGGCAATGAAGGCTTGTTTGAAAGCTAGTGTCCTGGGCTTGCTGATGCGCTAAACCCTACCGTGCCCCCAACCCTGGAACCTTAGATGCAAGACCTTCCGTATGTTTTGAAAAAATGACGTCTGTGAGCAGTCCTCGCAGTTCCTGCGAACATGGCCCAAAAGTCCCCGAAGGTCCTGGAAAGAAACACGGCATGGAGCTTCTGCCCGCACTGTGCAAGGTAAAATCAGCGAAATTGGGTTGCATAGGGTAGCCTTGATCTGGCAGTCCAGATGCTTTTGCTAGCGTCTTAAAATTTACTCGGTGGGCGCATCGGGTCTGTGGCTTTCGGACCTACCCAATTGGCTGTAGGCGTTGGGACTTTGGATGTTTGGCGCATCATACCATATAAGATAACATCCTACCATACCATACCGTGTCATATCATATCTTGCACCCTGTTATCGCACGACATAGCAAGGATAGCAAGGGATACCCAAAGAGCCGAATACCCCTTAGCTTAAACTATATAGGGCTTCATATTATGATTTAAGGCTAGATTCCTTAATAAAGGGGTATTCGGCTCACTGGGTATTTCATCAGCACGAGAAGAGCCCGTCCTCACGTGAAGCTTCGGGGCTGAGCTGGAAGAGGCCCACCTGACAGTGGGGTTTAGAGGGAACTCCAGAAAGTTGGAATATGGGTTCATGATAGGATACCCTATAATTTACCATAGAAGGGTTAGGATAATAATCTTCCAACTTTCTGGCTTTTACCTTAGAAGGGGGCATCGTAAGGGTTTTACAAAGGTCTTTTCTAGACCCAAGAGTAACCTGGGAATAAAAAGGGTGCCCTTTTTGGTTTAAAGGGGCTTTACAAGGGAACCTGAACCCTGAAAAAGGGAATAAGGGCCTCCTCTAAGTCCTAATCTTACAGGAGTTTCATAAGGGTTCTATGACTATTTACGGGTTTAGGAATTTGGGTATGGGGGTTAGGATCCAGGGAATCTGGTTTAGGAGGTAGGTATGGACAGTAAGATTAAGGGACTAAGGTTCAGGATTTGAGGGAAGGGGTTGGGATCTATGGGGGATTCTGGGGGTCTAGGGTTTGGTCTACGATTTAGGCTGAGGGCTGGCCAGGGCGACAGGGTGTGCGCAGGATCTCGGAGAGGCTTGGTCGCAAAGATATTTGTATGCCTGAAGAAATGACAATGATGATAACGATGATGGTGGTGATGACCATGATGATGATGGTGATGATGGTGATGACGATGATGGTGATGGTGATGCTAGTGATGATGATGATGATGATGAGCACTATACCTTCTGCCCGTAACAACAATATCAGCCTGTAGTAGTTTGCAACGATCGTGGAAAGTTTGAACAGTAACACGAGTAGTCGCGACAAACACGAAAACCGAGCAAAGGCCTTAAATGAACTGCACAGCAAATCTCATAAACAAAACTTCTGTTCAGTGCAGGCCGTGGCTTCTTTGGATTGCTGGGGATTGAGTAGACAGCATGCACGTGCCAATGTGCGCCCTGCTCAGGAAGTCTGCGCAGTGTCCCCCAAGTTCCCTAAACCATGAACCCTAAATGCGAAGCATACATGCGGTTTTGACGAGTACTTGCCGCAGATCCACCGGATCCCTCAAACGGAAGCGTAGAACAAGGAACGGAAATACGGCTAACAGCAAAGGGAAGGTGGCTTTAGATACAACAGGAGTAACGGTATAGTCAAAGCTCCTCAATTACCGAACGAAGCAATCCAAAAACTTTCCAAAGCCCTGAAGCCCTGCATGCAGACTCATTTGCTGTCGAGCCAAACCTGCCAAGGCACTCTTTACTGCCCACCAGAACCTTTCAATACACCTTGAAGCCGAATCCACGACCGCAAACAGGAATCATGGACTTTAGAACTACAGTACATGTGCCTGCAGCGCAACCCTACAAGGAACCGTCTTCTCTACACCTGAACCTCCGGAGAAGATGTTGCCGGCCTCACAGTCTGGGCTTGTGCCACCTCGGCGGCAGGATGATGTTGGCGATTCGCATTGCCATCTTCATGACCCTGGCCAGTCCTATCATCACCAGCATCATCACCGTCAGACCACATACTCGTAAAAATCAAGTCCTTCTTCATCACCACCAAACTTGCGAGAATCGTGACCAGGAGTGCTTTTGCAAACGTTAACCGCGCTTCCATCGTTCTTGTCCCTATCCAACATGTCAGAACACAACTTGCAGGTATGTGGCAAGACTCTGAAATCAGTCACGTTGGCCCTGCCTCTGCTGTCCTTCGCGCTATGGTAAAGCCCTGTCTTCCTGCTAGTTGCGGCAAGGCAACGTGAGCATGCCAGGGCCGGGGCATTGGGCCTTCAACGTCGCATCGAAAGGCAACCGCATCTTCCCCCCCTGGCTGAACGAGGCCTTTGCCAAGGAGCTTTGTCTAGGGCGGCCGCAGGGACAGGTGTCTTCCACAGCAAAGAAGCAATGATTTATGCAGCGAATGCGACTCCGAAAGAAGTCAGGGGCCAGACGAAATCAATGGCAATGACAACGACCATAACGGTAGCAACTGCAACAACGACAGCAGCAACAGCAATAAACTAATGGCATGATAGAAATATGAACATTAACAACAACAGGACTAACACGATTTGCAAAAAATGCGTACTAAAACTACGAAGAAGTACTGCCGTATTCATGGCAATAACAATGACAGTATTTCCAGTATCAATGACAATGATAAGACTACTGACAATAACAATGATGATAACACCCACAAGAACAACAGTAAACAAATGAGGTACATGCTAGTAATACTAATAATCAACTGACAGCAGTAGTAGTCGCAGTTTCAACAGCAATGATCGCTTGCCAACAATGTTGGGTATACATGTGCGCGACTGCACATACACATACATACATACATACATACATACATACGTACATACGCACATACGCACATACATACATACATACATGCAATCGTCCATGCAGGCATAAATACATGCATCCTTTCAGTCATAATTTCGTTTGTTCTGTCTTTAATGCCCTTCCTTCATTCAGTCGTTCATATGTAGGCATTCATGTTTCCGACACTCTTTTCAACTTTCTTCTCAGTCTCCGTCACTTCGTAGTTGATAAGCCGCAACATGGCTAAGAGGTGCCTGGCCCAGCTGCTCCAGAAGGAAGCCTTTCGCGGAGGTTCAAGGTTCAGAGCTTCATGCTTGAGGGTTTAAAGGTCTGCAGGGTTCCAGGTCATGGCCCAGAAAGGGAATACGGCCCGGCATGGTATGACGCCGCATGCAAGACATTCCCAGAATCTGAAAATTGCTTTCGCCTTGCTTTTGCCGATGTGTGGGTTTGAGTTGCTCTCGCACATGTAGCATCAGTGAAGGCCTTGTGCTTGGTCTCGTGGACGCAGCCCGGCATAGAGTGGGAAACCGCCATGCTTCTGCGAGACAGCTGGAACTTAGGAAACTAAAATACAAGCACGATTAGCTAACACACTAGAGTAACTAGAGTTTGGCTTGGAGGTGGCTTCACAGAATGCAACGGATGATCTGAAACTGTACGGTCCAAGATCAGGTCGGAAGGCTTGCAGCATGTTGTCTGGTTTCTGAGACGTTCCGGGTTTCAAGAAGTGCAGACCTTCCCTTTGGGGACAGCTTCCGGAACGAAGTAAACCCAAACTTGATAGTCGATGGCGACAATCCTAGCCATTCGTTCAGTGGGTTGCAAAGCTCCAGCATTCCAAATCCATCGTGAGATGGCCAGCGGTCATGTATGTGTATACACATTTTCATCTGATAGCTGACCATGCGAAGCTTCACACATGGATACTGTCGACTTCAACACTTCGGCCTACCTGCTGGGCTTGGATCGCAAGGCCCAGAGGTTCGTGCCGTGCACCGCCGGAGTCGACCAAGGTCTCGGCATGAGGAGTTTAGATTTAAGGGTTTTCAGCGGTTGGTAGTGTCTTAGGGCTTCGGGCACCAGCGTCCCAACATTTCCGGTGGAGGTTGTGGATTTAGGTTCCGCTTTCTTGTCCCAACTAGACTAAAATGATGCAGAAGTCCCAACAGTCAACCCTATGTCTAGTTCATGGTCGGGATAGGATTCAACATGTTCTTTTTATTCCTTATTCGGTTCAAGTACCCCAAAAAACTGTAAAATGCTACCCAACTATGACAAAGATGTACCCTAACCGAAAACCCCCGAAGACCCCAAAAGCCTAGACCCTGAACCCTGACGCATCCTCAAAACCCGCGTAGAACCACCCAACACCTCAAGACCCGAAAACCGCCTAATCACACCCCTCCGAAACACCCCAGCACCACACAAATCCTATAGATATCCCAAAAGCAGAAAAGAAAGCTTAAACCCCCTAAAATACAGGCTCCCGAGCCCGAACCCTTAGTTAACTCTGAAGCTGCACTTGCATGGAAAGATGCGAAAAATGGACAAGGCCGGAGGACGGGAGAGCTGTGGGATTTGGGATTTACCGTGGTGGGTTTAGGCTTTTTCAAGTCTTTGCGTAGGATAAAAAATCTTTGCGCTCTTCTTCAAGCACACCTCTTCTAGTCGCCAGTCGTTCAGAAGATCCTGAGACATGATCTTGTGCTCGTAACGTACCACCAGAGGAAGCCCGCTCAACCCTTTCCTCCTACTGCCCAGCCAGGTTTTGCGAAGACCCGGCACTTGGAACGCAGGTGTCGCCGTGAGGCGTGCGAGATCGGAATATGAATCTGCCCCTTTGAATGGACCACAAACATCAGTGTATAATTACACGCTCCCCACTAGGGCACTCCCGTAAAGAAACAGTTTTGGTTTTACTGTCGGAGCGGGCTCAAATTGCTATAATAGCTATATTTCTCGAATTCGAAGTTCATGGGGGAAGGAACCCCGCCATGTCGATCGTGAGCATGATTATCACACCAGGGTCTGGTGTCTGTGTGATCATACCATATTCAGCCGTCTCATGCTTCACCGGCATTGTTTCATAAACTTGGACTACAAACAAGATGGCCCTGCCCTAAGGCCCCAAAGTAGTTCCTTATTGGGGTTCATAATTTTAATCCTATGAGGTAATCCCAGAAAAGGAACTACTTGGGGGCCTATGGGTAAACCCCGTGTCTCACAACATGGGGAGCAGCACAGGTAAGTTGCAGACCGGTATGACCAGGTAGTTCTCGGGCTCTGTGGGATCCTTCAGCTGTCTTTTGAGATAAGGTCATAACACATGTACAGTCGTTTCTTCAGATCTGATTCGTGTAAAGTTAAAGGTCCCCTCTAAGAAGGATCCTTCTATCTGGGCCTCTTTAGCCTTCTTCTCAAGCTGCCGGGCCCCGATCAAGCCCCACAAAGCTCGCGAAACCTTACAGTCAGCCCCAGTGTCTGCGGCTGCTATCCGATATCCGTTACAAATGCCTGAGCCGGGCAAGTCGCCTTCGCATGACTTCAAAACTGACACCACCTTGCAGTGCAGCAGGGCCTGCAAGGCATTTTAACGCCTTGCTCCTCCACCTGTAAACCTGTGATATCCTAGTCCCAGGTCCTACGTCCCACAACCTGAATCCTGAACCCCAAGCTCAAATCACATGCACACCCGGCTGAAAATCAAACCCCCGCCCCCCAATCCTCACAGTCGCCAGGCTCCATCACTGCCTGGTCACGGTTTGGACTTCACAAGGAAGACAGCAAAGTCTAGCGGTTTTGGGGTATTGGCATGGGGTTCTAGCTTTTTCGGTGTACAAGGCCCCAAGGTTTTACAGTCCTTACACGGATCCACGGAAAGGTTGATGCAATGAATCTTGTGCATGGTGAGTTGCCGAAATCTGACATCGGATCTGCACAGCCGGGAAACTATCTTGGCTGTCACTTTGGATTTTGTGCATGACTGGGTTCTTGTTACTGTTAAGGGATTAAATTTCAGGTACCATTATAGGGATCTATAGTAAATAAGACGGTTTCCTTATTGTGGTAACTTAAATTAAAGCCCTTAACAAGAACCCAGATGAAGCGCATTCTGTCAAATCGGCTGCAGCACGGCAGAACACAGCTCTGTAGAACTGGGCTACAGGAGCTGACGCAAAAGTACGCAAAAGGGATAGGCTAGGCATCACCTATACTGCCTATACTACACACATGTCGCTGGTGTCATCAAGATCACAAGACATAGTGTGGATGTCTGTTATTTTCACACTTGGCTTTGGAAGCTGCTCATGACATCCAGGAAACGCAAGAGCCGACACATCAGCGCTAAGATGATACGTAGACTCGGATGCTGGGATTTTGCAAGCAACTTGTGAAATCTTAGAACAAGGCATTGTACCTATAGTAGTAGAATAATATGATACATGGTATAATGGAAGTATCATATTACAAAATCATAATAGTATGGCATACTATAACATAATATAGTGTCACATATTCAGAAAGCTTGCAGGAGCCTCAGGGCTCGTGTGGAAGCCCTGGAAGATGGACCTGCAGCCGCGAGAGACCATGGCCGTCAGGGGCACATCACCTGCCAGCACCGGGGGGTTTTAGGGTTGAGGGCTCAGCACCGAGGGGGGTTTGTTTTTTGAGGGTTTGGGGCTTCGGGGTGTTTAGGCTTAGGGTTTAGGGATTTTTGGTCCGCAGATGTATGAGTCCGAGGGCGCACCGCGGGGTTTAGGGCTTTTAGGGTTTAGAGGGTTCACCCCAAGGCTGTGGGCCTCAGCCTTGACTCCCCAAGTCCCTATTCATGTGAATCTTTGCTGGGGAGATGGGATGGTAGCATACTTGGCATACGGGTAGCTCTCTGAAAGCAGCCTTGTAGTTTGAAAACTAATATATTAATATTCATACTAATACTAATATTAATGCTAATATTAACCTTAATACTAATATTAATATTAATGCTAATACTAATATTAATGCTAATATTAACCTTAATACTAATATTAATATTAATGCTAATACTAATATTAATGCTAATATTAACCTTAATACTAATATTAATATTAATGCTAATACTAATATTAATGCTAATATTAACCTTAATACTAATATTAATAGTAGTTTGGGTGCCCGAAAGCATGTCTGGGAGGTGCAAATGCAAAGCCTGACTCCTTGACTTGGCAACCCTAAATCCTGCGGCATTTGTCAAGAGTGCCGCATTCCTAAGCCCATACTGTAACCCCAAACGCCCCGTCATGAAAGTTCAACCTTCACGCCTGAACAGCAAACGAAAAACCCTGTATTAATTTGTCATATCATACAAGTTGATGTAGGTTCGAATAGAATACAACAGAATACAACACTAATATATTATGCCGTATACCATAAATATGATACCACAAATCTTCAAGCCCTAAACCTGATTCCGGGCGCACCCCGCAATGCAAGGCCAAGTGCGCCACTTCGGTGCTCCTTTGCGTGTCTTCAACTTGTCGGGAATTTTTTGGAACTATACTGTATTGATACTACATAGTACAGAAGCTAAACTTGTAGAAACGGTGTACAGTTTATGATTAAGAAAGCTTGGGCTTTGATGGGGAACCTTGATCTGGCTGTCGTTCTTGAGTGCTTCTAAATCAAGATCGTGCACAACGGGGCTTCTGAGTTTAGGGTTTCTGATGTATGATGCTTAGTATCTTTGCTTCATTTCCCCTTAACGGTGCAGGGCTGAGCACATATGGTGCTCCGGGGTTTGCGTGTTTTGGGGTCTGTGTGCCAGCCTGGGTGCGGTTGTTGGGGGACGGGTTTTTCCGCTTATTATGCAATATATACATATATATATACATATATATACATATCATATATTACAGCATTTATATTCTGTTTTATCATCCCCGTCGCTCTGGGATGGCCAAGCCCAGCAGCCGATGTCAGGACTAAGAAACATGCTTTGCAACCCCCGGAAGGGCTTGCGACCGCGATCAACCTTAACAACCCTCATACACATCTGCGATGAACACCCTACTAGTAAAACTTCCCTATAGATCCCATGTGAACGACTACAAAGACCCGCACCCCAAATCTTAAACCCACACCCTCCTGAAGCCGCCCTCCGCGACGGAGGAGAAGTGGATCGGTGACGATGCCTGGCATCATAAACCCTATAAGCCCTAACCATCCAAGAAATTGGGGGGTTTAGGGTTTAAGGTGTAAAGATCGGGTTTAAAGCTTTAGGGATCATACAGGAACAGGAGTATTGCTGGAATTGAAAGGTTCTGTACGCTTCGGGAATTGCTTAGGGTATACCCAAGGAGATTGTATGCTCGAAGACACTCCTAACGAGCTGTATGGCATTCACGCTCTCAGTCTCCATGCCCTGGTAATCGCAAGACATACCTCATGTCCTCATCCCTTCACCCCCCTAGCTCCTAAACCCCAATCCCTAAATTCTAAGCAGTGAAACTTGCCCGGGCCTCCGATGATGCCGGCCTTTGGGCACCGCTGCTGAAGAATCGCCACGAAGCGCTCTGGGTCAAAGCCGCGGTGCCTCCGACAGAGCTCCCCGGGTGGCTGGGAACTTGTTTCGCCTGCCTCTACTCTCCATTGTAGCTCCGTTTCTGTTTACTCATTTTTATATTTAGGATCGTTTAAGGTCTCCTAAAACAGGGTGCTGCAATGGATACTATAGGCTACAGGGTTTGGGGACTTGCAGGTTGAGTTGTTTAGGGATCGGCCGGGCTCAGCGGTGTCACGTCGGAAGATTCGGGGCCTTGGGTTTGCACGTAAGGTCGACGCATCTCACGGGCCTGGGGTAGCATGTGCATCTGGACGTCATAAGAGTAGTTGCGACGGAAGAACGCCAGATATGACGTATGCCGGCAACATCATCCCAGTGAGCTTGGAGCTGCGGCGACACAGACGACAGCAGCCATGCAGCTAGGCGGCTGATGGCGGCCACCAACGATGAGCACCACGGTGCCCCATTCGGGTCCTGTTCATTCAAAGTGCATGTGCCAGGCATAAGAAGTGCTCAGCTGCAGAGTTGCGTCCCAAGCCCAGCTTCGTATGAGGACAGGCTTCCAGGCTGTTTGAGTAGCTCGAGACTGATATTATGTGCCAAAAACTTGCGCGTGGACATAGCAACTAATGACTACTACACTCCATTCAAAGAGTATCTCCCCTAAACCCTGCACATGAGGGCACCCCCTACTCCAAGTGTGGACTGGCCCTTCGCCCCTGCACCCGCCCGTGCAAGTGCTGCATGCTTGTACACCACAAGGGAGTTTTCGAAAATAAGGGGTACCTCTATTTTCGAGTCCGTAAAGCTTTATAATAAGGATCCTACTACTTAGGGTACTACATTAATTAGGGTCCCCAATTTTCGGAAACCCCCCACACTTCAAGCAGTCTTCACAAGGGTGCCTCTGCGTTTCGGAGCCTAGGATCGGCGCTCGGAATTTCGATTCAAGGCTTCGGGTCCAGACTTTACCGAAACGGGCTGCGATTTGCAGGGGCAGGATGATCTGGACTAGATCAGAATTCGGGTTTTTTTTAAAGATTTAGGGTTTGGGGTTTAGGGTACCAGAAAGAAGCCTTAAAGTCAAAAGAACCTGATCCCAGGTACTTGGAGCAGGCTCAAAGTCTTCTCGCGTTCTAAGCTTCGATGCGGGCTCCCAACCCAAGTCCGGGCCTTCCGGCACTCCGCAGTCGCCGAGTATTTTGGCAAGTTCCGGTCCATCCAACTGGCTTGTGTCCTTTCACTGGGGAGGGGAGCCGCAAGGGCCATGATGTATGGGGCATGCTGCAGCGATTCTACTGCTCTGAGTCCCTGCATAGTGCATGCCCCGTTGCATTTAGACTTGACAAGGAAAGCCGGACTGTACGACCCATGTTAGCTTCCGCTGTCAAGATACGAGAGTCCGGAATTCCCAGACGAATTCTCTCTTCTGCTTGTCCGCTCTTCGGTGGCTTGGCCCCATGCCTAAGTACAAAGTGGCCCATCGTATTGGATTGACTGGTGCTGTTTCAGGGAGCCGGGTTCGGGCTGTCTACACAATCTCCAAAGCTAGCTACGATGAAGCTCAGACAAACCTCCCCTGCCTGGCAGACCTCCGGCGACACATAGAAGGAGTGCCTCAGAGGAACACAAGTGACTCAGTAGCTCTCAGAAACGCTTCATGCCGAAGTCGTGGGCTGAGAGTCTACCTGCACCATATCTTACCTTCTACCCGGACGCATGGTCTGTCTGGCATCTTGTCGTGGTAAGGTCCCGCAGAAGTCGGAGGACTCCGCGGCCACATAACGCAGTGAGTGATCTGCAGCCCAAGTTAAAAGCTGCAAGCTCCCCTATCCCTCAACCCTAAACCTTGAAACCCTAAACTGCATAATTAAACCTTGAATCCCTAATCTCTTTAATCCCTAATCCCTAAACAGCCTGTAACCCCTCATCTCTACACCTTGAATCCCTAAACCCTAAAGAGCCTTTAATCCCGTATCTCCAAGCCCTAAACAGCCTTTAGTCCATAATCCCTAAACCCCAAAGAGCCTTGAATGCGATATGACCTATGACTGGCGAGCTGCGCCACTGCAGCAGGGAAGGCGCCGAGCATCAGCGACATCTCAAGCTCGGGGCTGCTCTCTTGGTCCCTAAAAGGCAGGGGTCGGTCTCTCTCCCGCTCTCACTCTCACTCTCACTCTCACTCTCACTCTCACTCTCACTCTCACTCTCACTCTCACTCTCACTCTCTCTCTCACTCTCACTCTCACTCTCACTCTCACTCTCACTCTCACTCTCACTCTCTCTCTCACTCTCACTCTCACTCTCACTCTCACTCTCACTCTCACTCTCACTCTCACTCTCACTCTCACTCTCACTCTCACTCTCACTCTCACTCTCACTCTCACTCTCACTCTCACTCTCACTCTCACTCTCACTCTCACTCTCACTCTCACTCTCTCTCTCACTCTCTCTCTCACTCTCACTCTCACTCTCACTCTCACTCTCACTCTCACTCTCACTCTCACTCTCACTCTCACTCTCACTCTCACTCTCTCTCTCTCTCTCTCTCTCACTCTCACTCTCACTCTCACTCTCACTCTCACTCTCACTCTCACTCTTACTCTCACTCTCACTCACTCTCTCTCTCTCTCTCCTTTCTCTCTTTCTCCTCTCATCTCACTCCTCTCACTCTCTCTCACTCTCACTCTCTCTCCTCTCTCTCACTCTCTCTCTCTCTCTCTCTCTCTCTCTCTCTCTCTCTCTCTCTCTCTCTCTCTCTCTCTCTCTCTCTCTCACTCTCACTCTCACTCTCACTCTCACTCTCACTCTCACTCTCACTCTCACTCTCACTCTCACTCTCACTCTCACTCTCACTCTCGCTCTCGCTCTCCCTCTCGCTCTCGCTCTCGCTCTCACTCTCACTCTCACTCTCACTCTCTCTCTCTCTCACTCTCTCTCTCTCTCTCTCTCTCACTTCTCTCTCTCTCTGTCACTCTCACTCTCACTCTCACTCTCACTGTCACTCTCACTCTCACTCTCTCTCACTCTCTCTCTCTCTCTCTCTCTCTCTCTCTCTATATATATATATATTTATATTACATATAGAAAGATAGATTGACTGACTGACTTTGCGAGTGACTTATGTAAAATACACACATACATACATACATACAAACATACATACTTCACATAGCATGAACAACATGACGTAACATAACATGACATAACAAAACACAAACCAACATTAACTTGACATACATCCCACAGGTACGGCAGCAGCAAACCATAGCATGACTGACCACGTTGCCCCCAGCTGTTCCAACAGGTGAAGCTTGCAACCGTGTGTGTGCATGTGCTACGAAACCTTGGGCCACTGCTTCTCAACACCGACACCCCCAAGTCCGAGGTCTGCAAGCTGTCCAGGCCTCATCACTGTCTCTTGGGTGTTGTCCGATGGCGCCACGAGGGCCTGAGCATCACCTGACAGCAGTGGGATAATATAGGGGCCTTGATGATTAGAATAGGGTTTTGGGGCCATCATACTACAAGAAACATGAGGAATCCCCAAAATAGTATAAGTTACTAAGGCTCCTATAGTATGCATTGCAATTGACAAGTTGAAGCCCCCGGCTCGTGGCAGCACCGACAATTTGGCACTCTGGCGGAAGGCCTGGGGCGAAAGCTGTGGGTCTTGCAGAGTCAATGCTGGGGGTCAGGAGTAGAGTGATAAGAATTCCAGGGCCAGGGAGTACGTATATTTTCAGAGGTCTCGCATCCGAATCTCGGCCCGCCAAGACCCGGGGCCATCCGCAAGGGATGTCAGAGTAAGTGGAGGCGATGCTTGCACTCAACAAAGCGGTGATGGCAGATTATAGCAACAACGTTGTTGCGGCGGCTATAGTTCTGCAAGAATCGGAAATTGCAAATGATCCACGGTTGCATAATTTCTACTATATTATGATGAAACACAATAAAATACATTATACTGTATGGTATCATATTATATCATAGTTCAGTATGTATGTACTGTGTTATAAGTCATAGGTTCCAGCAAGTAGACCTGTTTGCAACCAGAGGAGCCATCCAGCAGCTTCTTCACCTCGGCGGAGCTGGGAGTACTCCAGGCTTTGTCTCAACAAGACAAGGCTTTATATGGGCGTTTCCGAAAATAGGAGACCCTAACATAGTACCCTAAATAGTAGGATCCTTATTGTAAGTACCCCAAAACAAGGTACCCCAAATTTTCGGAAACTCCCATATTGCTTTGTTCTGAACTTAATCAGTACTACTACAATTCAGTAAGTCAATGCACAAATATACGAAACATATAAAATACAATATGACGTGGACGCTACTACTGCAACGACGGATACCTTCGGAATACCTGTCCCGTTGCTCGACCAGTGGCTGAGCTGAAAGTAGATACGGGCCCTAAACACTAAATCCCTACATAAAGGCGTCTCGGCTTCAAGCGGTTTGGAAGTTTCCCTAGTGGTCCCATTCCGTGATTGCCATTGACCCAGCGCGGCTCTGAAGGAGCCCGCAGCGATCTGGTCCCACCTGTACGCATCGCGAGGGTGCCCGACCATACTGCCCCGCCTTTGGCGGCTGGCTTTGCTTGCGCTTTTTCCACGGGAGTGGCGCCCCCACCGGAATTTTGGTTCAGTGCATGAGCTTTGCGGGACGCTGGCTCATTGTGCTGGGTCACATCCTCCTTCCTGGGAAAGTTTTGGTACAATATTCCTCTGGAACCTTCGTGGCATCGGCGCCGACGGAGGGCGCGCACGAAGGCAAGGACTCTACTACGTGGAGTGATCGCGGGGTGGATTCCCCGCCAGCAGCCTGGAGTGGCGAGAGCGCGAGCCTTACTGGCAGCACACCACTCAGGCAGTACGCTTCCGGCAGCACTGGATACCATGGCCGTTCCCTGGAAATGCCAGTGCGGAACCCAGTGCAAGGGCACTGCCGAGTATTGCTCCAAGTGTGGCTTGCACTGGAGACAATCCTGCTACCCCACGTACACAGCCCATTCTGCTCCCTCGGACAATGGAGGTCGACGGAAAGCCAGGTCGCCCCGATCTCGAGGCGACAATGGCAAGGGCAAAGCGACACGGCCCTTTTCTCCGAGGAGCCGAGGACGTGGCAAAGGTGGACAAGCCGAAGCGAAGGGCAGCGAGGCCGCCACCGGGAAAGGAACAGGGGCCGCTCCATCGGCCCCAGCGACCTACATGTCGCAGCTGCCTGCGGCCCCGAGTGGGCCACAACTTGCGCAGCCGACGGCTCCAACTGCCCAGGATGGGGTCGACAAGTTGCCCCAGACCATCCAGGACATTTTGTCCTCCCTGGCCTCGAGCAAGGCCGAGTTGCCGCCGGAGATCCGCGCAGTCCTCGACGTGCACATGGAGACCAACCACCAGCAGACTACAAAGCAACTCCACCGGCTTGTGGGACAGCAAAGCCGCGCGCAGAAAGAACTCCTAGCGATTCGCAAGAGCAGGAGTCTTTTCGTACAGGAGTGGTCTGCATACCTGGATCAGCTGACACAACTCTTGCAAAAGCAGCTCCTCCAAAAGGAGGCCACTCTGGCATCGATGGCAGAGTCGGAGCAGAGTTGGCAGGAGCAGCTGAGTACAGCCACCAGGGCTATCCGACAGCAGACGTCTACGGCGTCTACAGCAGAGGCGGTTCTGAGCTCCGAGGAGGAACAGGACGCGATGGATGCCGAGGTGGATCTGGATGCGGCTCTGGAAGCTTCCAAGCAGGCTGCTGTGGAGTCCAGTCAGCAAAAGGAGGCGAACCTGATACATGCACTGCAGTCGGCGAGTGCTGCGTCTGCCGTACAGGCGCAGCAGTACCGGGAGCGCACGCCGCGACGGCGCAAATCAGGGGAGAAGGAGATCGAGATCAAGCAAGAGCCAGGGACGGAGGATGCCGGAGGACACGACGGTACGTCGCACCCTGGCAAGGCCCAGTGATATGCCACATGGATGCCACTGGGCCGGAGGCGATTCCCACCATGGCTTTTACAACCGTGGTGGTTGAGAACAACTACGTCTCCAGATGGATGGCTCCCCTCTTGGCTCTGTGTCTGCAGTTCGAGGTGGGAACCAAGACGGAGCACGACCTTGTCCCTCTCGTTTTCGAGTTCTTCGATCCTCGATGCGACTCAGGTGACCAGGCAGACTCAGTTTCAGTTGCTGGCCCTCCCTGCTTGGGTTGCAAGGAGGGGCCGACGCTGGAACTGCGTGCCAGTGAGTGCTATGAGTGCCCGCCTGTACAGCTCATTTTCCGTAGATGGCCGCGGACTGAGCTACCACGACACAGTTGTTTGCAGCAACGGCCCCACCCAGTGCCGTTTCAGGTCAGCCTTTCTGACGGTACCCCGTGCATAGGCAACCGATGGAGGCGAGAACTTTCTCGTTCTGCTGGCCTGCTCCCGTCTCTTTCATGCATACAAGTGTGCCGGCCCTCGCAGGAGGTGCCGTTTGTGGGAGCCGCTACCTTCGGCCCCAGCCTTGCCTCACACCCTGCTTTGCTGCCTGTGCGGTCGCTCGGCACCAGCACGGTCAACACCACGTCGCCTCTGCCTGCCCTCCTCCGGGATTCCAATTCTCAGGAGGTTCTGCATGCTCAGTCGCAGCCTGTGCGGTCGCCGCGGACCAGCACGGCACCTGTCCACCCATTGCCAAACATGCAAGACTGCGTCAGTCACCCTGATGCAGGTCCAGTAAGAGCCCCTGCAGGGGCACATGCGGCATGTATTGAACCTGCTCTGCCCAATCTGCTGGCATACAGCATTGCGGCTCCCGTGCCAGTCGATCCTCCAAGTGTTTACGGGGGAGGCTACACACAGCCCGTGATCCGGATGGGACTTATCACTGAGGCAGATCTCGCCGCGCAAGGGAGGCAGTACACTGTGTTTGAATACCAGAGGCGGCCGCGAGTCCGCAATTTTGGCACAACATGGTCGCTACAGGACCTAGTCGCGGATGCTATCCGTGCTGCCGCAAATCCGATCCGGCATGTGCGCGTGCTTGATCCAGTAATCCCGGGATACCCAGCGCCCCAGCTGGTGCTCACGAGAAGGACGGCTCCGGCAGCGCATAACGCGGTCCCTTGCGACCTCCGTTCCTTCGCGCGCGATGTTGTCACTGCGGAATTTCCGTGATTTCACTGCCTATTCCGGGGGTTGGCAGTGGCTGTGCCTCCATTCTGACCCGGGGCAGCCAGCAGGTCAACAGGCCCAAGCCAATGCTGATCAGGTTGGCACTACGACCACTGCCACAGCGTCTAGGGTTCTACCAGGCGCAACCCCTCAACAACTACTGCAGCTCGCAGCTGAGGAGGAGGCGGTGCCCTACCACCAACCTGGGGCAGGTCTATACCCAGCTTGTGTCGCTTTTCAGCCGGATTTCTTGCGTCAACCTGAAGTTGTGCACAGGCCTCTTGCTGATTTGTGCCTTTTTGCTGGCCTGCAGACTGGGACCGGTTGCCTTGACTTCACGGTGCATGTTGCAGGGGCTGCACCCACTACCCTTCAGGCTTATTCAGACTGGTCCCTTGCTTCCTTCTTCCATGCAGCGATTGGTGCCATACCCGAGCTTCCACAGGCAGTGCAGATGCTTGTTTCTGGGGTTCCTGGGCTCCCAGAGCCACAATTTGTTCTCACGGCCGCGGGGGCAACCAGCCCGGCCGTCCCGGTCGACTTTCGGTTTGTTGGGGGTCCAATAGCGACCGTCTGCGCCACGCAAGCAGACAGCATTGAGCACCTCTTGCAATTCGCCCCGGGCCTCGAAATGTCGGAGCATGTGCAGGAGCTACTCTTGCAACGGGACCTGTTTCTCCAAGATGCGCGGGGCGGTGTCCATACTGCAGTCCCAGGGCAAGCGGCCGATCTTCAGTGGCTTCGTGTCGTCAGTAGGGCGGGTATTATTGGCAGCACTGCAATGATGCCTTCTCCCTTGACTTCCCTGACGTCCACATCAACCACCACCACAGCGATGCAAGGAGAGGCCACCACCGTCCGACTCACACTGACCGGGGCCGGCCTGACGATGACCACGGCAGCAATCCCTTTGCAGCAATTCGATGTGGTGTCTGAGCTTACCACGCTGATTCTTGCAATTACGCGTGCTGGACGACTGCCTGATAATGCTCATGTCGTAATTACTGCAGCTTGGCCCCTGCCGGCGGGTGGACGACATTTCAATATCCCAGTCCTCGTCTACTCCCCTGACGACTACCAGTACATCGTACTGGACCCCTCGGTTGATGGGTCCCAGGTGCACAGCCTTGTGGTGCAAGCCGGCACTATGCCCGAACACGTCCTCTCCCGTAACCAGGAGAATCTTGGCTTCGTGGCCTGGGTCAACGGGGCACCCCAGTCGGCTGTCCGCAGGCCGTTGAGGACCGGAGATTTTGTCCAAATCTTCCCAGGCGACACACGTGTGATATACCCTGTGGGGCACCCGCTGCAGCTCATGGGACATGTCAATAGGCTTCACTGCCTGAGTGCCCCCTTTAGGGTTCCTGCCTTCAATACAATCGCTGCCAGGGCGTCACACGCTGGAGCCAACGCCGAAGTTCGACAAGCCCTCCTCGGTGCCATCGATAGAGCCATGCGAGCCAGGGTTGAACTATACGGACTACCATCCAGGACTCGGCAGAAGGTTGTCTTACTTGAACCAGGGCGTGCACCACACATTGTGTGGCTTGACCTCATGTCTTGTCCCTCGGTCGATGAAGCCGAGCCGCTCCTCCGAGACTTAGGGCTCTTTTCCGACGATGCACGGATACTTGACTCCCGCATCGAGACCTTGGTAGCACAGGTTTTTGTCATTGCACCTCGAGAGGTCCGAGGCATGACGTACACGGTGCCCAACCCCATCTTTTTCGGGGCCCATACTCTCATCCACCTGCCAGCCGATACTAGTCCACCATGGCACCTGTTGCCAGTGCAAGATCAGTACACCTTGGTGCCACCATCTGAGGGCTGGATCGATGGGGCTGGCATCCTAGTCGCGCGACCACAAGGGCAGCGGTCTCTTGCACGCATGGTGCCTTCACTTGCGCAGCGGTAGCTTCCACGGCCGTGCCACTGGCGGAGCCTGCCTCTTCTAGCAGTGAAGTGCGTGCAGTGCCTGCTGCCTCTACTGCGGCCGCACCCATTGACTCTGAGCGCACTTCCTCTGCCGCGTCAAAACCCATGAGTGTCGAGACAGTGCCGTCTTCGGGTGGAACCTCGCTTGCCCAACTGCCGGACTTCCGACAGGCACAGCAACGCAGGTGCCGCCAGGCAGAGGCAAAAGGTTTGGTAAGTACCAACTGCCCATGCGTGGCAGGGCAGGTGCAGTGTGATCCGGACACAGCCGAGCGGTCCGCTCAACCGCATACTGTCCATGAACTTCAGAGCCGAGTCCGGCAACCAGTGGCACACCTGGCGGCAAACATCACAATGGCTCAGACTTCTATTGCCACGCCGTTTGGACGTCGGAGCCTCTCGGCTGCTGCTGGGCGTACTGCTGATAACCTCTCCCCTGTTTGTTCCGTCGATGACCCGGGCAGCAACTCCCTGCGACCGCAGGGCCCCGTCGGTCACCCCGTTCCCCAGCGCATGCCTGTCCATGTTCGACTCGAGGGAGCGATACAGCCACCCGAGCCCAATGGCTCGAAGGACCTCACGGCTCCTACCCTCGAACTGGCTAAGGCAATACCACAGCCACAGCGTGAGGCCAGCCTGCTGTTTGCTGTCCCTGCTGACATCTTGGCACCGACGCTCGCGGCATTTGATCTAAGTCACTGCCACCGGGCCTTGCCAGCATCTCAGTTGCTCCATCCTGCCGCTCGGCAGTTGGTTTACGGTCTCCCTACTTGGGCAGGGGCGAAACTGACTGCATGCATGCTGTTTCTTGATGGCGCCTATGAGAACGGCCGATGCACTTGGGCAGTTGCTGCGGCGGTTGAGTTTCAAGGTACTTGGTTTTGGGCAGGCTACTTCTGTGGGCATGTTGCAGGCTCTCTCAGCCCGCGATCGGCCTTCGAGGGAGAGCTATACGCCCAATTTGTTGCTCATGGCATTGCAGCCCGGCACGCTGTTCCATGCGCCATCTTCTACGACAACACCTCTGCTGCGAGTGTCGCAGTCGCTACAGCTGCTACTACCGCCAGTACGCAGCTAGGCAGTGCTACGGCAGCATTGCGCTTTCTGTCTATGTACAGTCAAGTCCCCATTGCCTACCAGCATGTCAAATCCCACCAGGGGCACGCTGGTAACGAGACGGCTGATAGCATTGCCAAGGCGCTGCTAAAGGAGCGGATTCAACCTTGTCTACCAGCTGATGACACTCTGGATGCGTGCGTGCTTGCAGGCGACTTCGACTGGCTTTGGATACATGCGGCCAGCGCTACTTGCAGCAGCTGGCCCAGCATAGGTCACGACGGGGACAGCGTGCCAATCTGCCCAACACAAGCTGGACCCATTCTCACCACGCCTGCCGCCTGGCAGCCTGTGGTGCCCGAGCCGGCTCTGCCTGCCAAGAAGAGTAAGTGCTCTCTTCGCTGCTTGACATACAACACGCTATCCTGTACCAGCGCGCTACAACGGCGCTGTCTCTCTGAGTTCATGCGCGCCAAAAAGGTCTGTGTTGCAGGTTTACAGGAGTGTCGTCAGACCCTCTCAGGCCCTCAGGTGCATGATGGGATACTGCGATAGGCAACACCTGCACCCGACGGTGGGTTGGGATGTCAGTTGTGGGTTGACTTGCGAGCCCTGCCGTATCGACCTCAGGACTTCCGTGTCATTTTCAGTCAGCCACGGCTACTGGTTGTCCTCCTGCATCATGAAGGTTTCAAGGCTGCCTTCATTGTCGGCCATGCACCGGATTCAACCCAGGATGCACCTACCCGGGAAGACTGGTGGGAGCAACTCGACGCCAGGCTTGACGCCATACCTTCTTATGCTGAGGCGGTGATAGTTGATGCCAATGCCCGCTACAACTCACATGAGTTGCCTGACAACGCTAATGCCGTCTCATTCCAGCAGCTCTGCCGCAAACATTGCCTCCACAGGACAGCTGCACATGACGCCAATGGCAAGGTCCACAAAACATGGCGTTCACCGCAAGGGGTGTGGTCTTGTCTGGACTATATCGCCGTGCCGTTGACCTGCCAGCACACACTGCGTGAGCTCGGGGCGCATGAGATCCTGGACACGCATGCGGGTATCGACCACCAGCCGGTGCTCGCTGAGTTTGTGCTACAGCATCAAAGCCCACCTAAGGCTAGACGGCGCATCGATGCAGACCGGCTGCGCAGCCCTGAAGGGCACAGCATCATCAGGGAGTGCTTTCTCACCCTTCCTGAATGCCCATGGCACCTGTCACCAGACGAGCACTTGCAGGTCATCAATCAGCATATACAGGCCTGCATTGGTCGCCACTTTTCCGGTGCGGGCGCGGTTGGGCGCAAGCCAGGCATTTCAGAACAAACGTTAGAGTTGCTTGCAACCAAAAGAGGGCTGCGCCGTGTTCACCAACGGCGTACACGCCAGCAATGCCGGGCTACCCTCTTTACTTGCTTCCGCGCCTGGAGCCGTGGCGGCGGCCATGGCAGCGCGCCCGACACCTGGGGATATGCCCCACGAGCTTGGGATCAGATGTGTGCCCGCCATATCGCGGATATGCAGCGCATATCTCGCGAGCTCCGTCTTTCTTCTAGCCGGGACGAAGCTGCCTTCTCGCGCGCCATGTTCAAAGAGGCGAGAGGCAAAGGCCCCGCTTGCCTAGCAGCCCTGCTACGGTCCGTGCTTAAAGTTGGACGAAGGTACAAAGCCCCGAGGATTGCTAATGCTATTGTTGATAAGGGGTGTGAGGTCACTGACCCGGCGCACATCCGACGATTGTTCGGGCAGCATTTTGGCGACATTGAAGGCGCTCGGCCGGGCATGCTGAGCGATATGACTCAGCTGCCGTGCGAGGACCGGTCATGCGCCAAAAAAGACATTCACGGCATCCCCTCCTTGCCGGCGCTATCTGCTGCCTTTGCAGCGCTGCAACCTCGACGAGCGGCAGGCATCACGGGAATACCCGCTGAGTTTTACTCGGCGTGTCCCGATCTCGCAGCGATGCACCACCTACCACTGGTGCTAAAAGCTGCCTCCAGACACCAGACCCCCACACTCTGGAGAGGGCTTCTCGCCGTTCCGTTGCCCAAGCCGGGCAAGCCTGGTCACCTCCTCACGGGCTACCGCTCCATCGCATTGATGGAACCCTCCATCAAGGCGGTGGCCAAGGCAGCACGGCCCGAACTCCTACGTGCTTTCGAGCGCATCACGCTCAGCTCCGTTGGTGGTGCTAGAAGCCGTGTTCCGACCGAACTGCCAGAGCTGCTGCAGTTCAACTGCACTTGGAGAGGTTGCGGCGGGATTCTCTTTCCGGATCCGTCGTCTTCGTCGATGGCATCACGGCATTCTACTCCACCTCTAGGGAAGTCCTGTTTGAGCAAGGGATGCCGGCATATCGACAGCGTGTTTCTGAAATGCAGGTTGAGCCCCAGGTCCTCCATCGGTTTCTTAGCCATCTTGATGAGAGAGGTGCCCTCACTCATGCTGGAGTGCCGAGTGCTCTGTGTGACGTGCTCCAATGCTTGTTGAGCAAAACCTGGTTTACCACTGACCCGGGATGTGGGGACATTCAGTGCACTACTCAGGGCACAACGCCAGGAGCCCCGCTTGCAGACCTGCTTTTTCAATATGCGCTGAATAGCGTCTTGGCTGCCCTCACTGAGCATCTCGCCGATGAACAGCTCTCTGCTCAGCTGACCGTTACTGGCCACGACCCGGCACTGTCGGATCCTGTTTCGTGGCTGGATGACGTCGCCGTCCTCTTGCAATCACAGTCGGCCGGCCGTGCGGCTGGCGACGCGGCTCGGGCTACGGCTCTCATCCACCAGTATCTCAGCCTCATCGGCATCGGCCTAAACCTCAGTCAGGGGAAAACTGAAGCCATTGTTGCCTGGCATGGGGCGGGAGCACACGAAGCCCGTCTCCAGGTTATGCAGCGGGCCGCGGGCACCGTCCCCCTGCATGTTCCGGGGCATGCTGGCCTGGTGCTACGCTGCGTCACTCAATACGAGCACTTAGGCAGCCTGCGTACAGCCGGAGGCGATATCGGACCGGCGGTCGAGCACAGGCATCGCGAGGCCCGCAGCGTCTACCGAGCCGTCAAGACCAGGCTTTTGCCCAATCCCAACCTTTCGTTGCGAGAGAGGCAGGCGTTGGTCCATGCTCTTATTTTAAGTCGTTTCCTTCACGGCGCAGGGACGTGGCTCTTCTGCACCAATGATGCGTGGGATGGCTTTGTTTCTCGCTACCTCGGACTCCTCAGAGGGGCGATTCGGCCGCTTCATGGGTGCTCCAGTGGCCGGCTATCGCAGGTCGAGGTGTGTGCCCTCACCAATGCTCTTTTACCTGAGGAAGTCCTTGCTGTTGCCCGTGTGCGATTGCTTGCTTGTGTGGCCAACCAGGCCGGTCTCTTCGCAAAGCGGCAATTTACACAGCATGCAGCCTGGATGCAGCAATTGAGGGCCGACCTCACCCTTGTTGCTGATCGCACCAAAGACCCGGGGCTTGCTCGCTATGCCTCTAGCGACTTGCCAACAGCAGACTGGCTAGACTCTTGGCCTCTTCCCCAGGCTTGTGTCAAGAACCTCCTGGCCCGATTCCGCCGAGGCTGCGTTGCGAGCCGGGAACACTTCGTTGAGTCTGCAATCGCCAAGGCGCAGGCACACGAGCGAGTCATTCAGGCTGGCCTCACTTTTATTCGAGACGTCCGGTGCTCTGCCCGTGAGCTCCGCTACCAGTGCCCGGATTGCCCTGCACTGTTTGCGACGAGAGCTGCGGCCGCAGCTCATCGTTCAAAAGTTCACGGCCACTTGTCAGCGTCCGCGCAGGCATTCGGCACAGCCTGTGAAGTATGCCGGCGTCAATATTGGAGTACAGCGAGACTCGCTGAGCATTTCCGAAAGGCTCCGCATTGCGCGGCTGTGTATCGGGAATCCGATATGGCTGGATCCGTCACGGAAGCCATAGCTGACCGCCGCGTACCCTGTGCACAGCTGGTTGGACCCCAACCTTGGTGGGCTACGATGGCGCACGCTCCCCTAACACCGCTTATTCCATCTCCCGACGCAAACGACCCGCTGCCTAGCCTCTTGGCACTCTCGCCAACACGGCAGCTCCACTCTTTCTTTCAGCTCTTTGCGTGTTCGGTAGAGAAGCATGGCCATGACGGAGTCATGGAAGCGCTTACACGGGTTGTCTCGGGCACGGAACACTGGCGATTGGCCGTTTCCGTTGCCCAAGTTTTGGACCGGGCTGATGAGATGCTCATCTTTCAGGAGGGCAGTCTCGCAGCCGCATACCGGAACGGAGCTTTGCTCTTCGGACCGGCTGAGGCCTTACGCAGTGCTGTAGCACGCGATTGGCCCTTTTTGTGAGCATGCCTTTTGAATTCGCGAGCGCGTCGTCACCGACTCATGCCGCATCGCCAAAAAAATCCCTACATAAACCGCAAACCCTATAAGCCCTACAGTAAAAGCCAAAACGGACTATGGACCCCGGCTCAATAACCCGATGTTGGAATCGCTTCGGTGTTTCCGTTATAGGGTCCTTGTGATGGGGATGCTGCTTGCCTTTGCGGCACAAATCAAAAGTCGGATAGTTTCTGAACTCCTGACAGGACAAGTGACCCAAATTCCGTGTTCTTTATCTGAAAGATCTCCTTTGTAGATCCAACCATGCATGCATCCCCGTATCCGTACCCCCTGCACGCTTCACTGACCCCTTCACGCAAAGCCGTAAACCAACTCCTAGGCTCCAAAACGCTAAAGCCCTAGACACGAACAGCCCCGAACCAGATGGGAGTTTCCGAAAACTGGGGACCCTGATATAGAACCCCTAAATAGTAGGATCCTTATTATAAGGACCCCCACATAAGGTACCCCTAATTTCGGAAACTCTAAACCCTAAACCCTTTATAGAACCCTTATAGATCCCTTTAAAGGAACCCTTTAAAGGAACCCCTAATTGTCGGAAACTCCCAGCTAGAGCCTGAACCTACACATTCTGAACCTCATACGCCTTCAATCCTGGAGTTCTCAACTCCCAAACTCTGAACTCCAGAAAACCTTAGCCCACCTCTAAACCCTAAACTCAAGGCATAGACCCTAAACCCAACCCCTGGGAAGAATCCGAGCCGCTCTTTCTCTCACATCAGATTTGGACCCCCTGGGCACGGAGGGGCCGAAGATGAAGCCTAACGAAGGCCTGGCCGCGAGGGTCTGGCGCAGCTTCCGCGAAACCTCCGGGACTTTCAGGCTTCTAGGGTGTACGTTTGAGGGTTTAGGGTTAAGGGTTTGGAGGTTTGGAGGTTTAGGGGTTTAGCGGTTAGGGTTCATGAGTAGTTATCTAGGTTCCTGAGTAGCCCCTTTCTAGTAAGGGTACCCTTTTTCCTACGACTCTGCTCTGATCGGGAGATCCTAACATGAAAAGGGCAAACGGGTACTACTCCGGCACCTAGTTATAAGTGCAGCTCTTTGTCCCATAATATAGGTTATAAGTATAGTTATCCTACTTATGAACCATACTTATAACTACCCATGAACCTGCAAGTGGGAGTTAGTCTAGGGCTTTAAGCTTGAGGATTTGCCAGGCTTTCAGGGCTCGTAGGGCTTTCGGACATGTGTGTTTTGGAGATTATAGGGCAAACCCTAAACCCTAAACCCTAACACTTACTCACAGGGTCTTACGATACATGGTTTTCAGGATTGTCGTCACTGTTGCTTTTTCGTTCTCGAGAGTTCTCGAAGAAGGCTTGGGCTGAAGGAAGATGATATTTCAAATATAGGGTTCTGGAGAAGAGTATACTACGTCTTGGAACCCTGAGCAATTCCCCGATGTTCTGATATTCGCCAATAAGAGATGGGAGGATCTCCCGATCTGCACTGACAAACATGTCAAAGTTCCCGCGATAGTTTCGCACTGCTCACTTTCAAGTTCTTCGTTTCGGGTTGAAGGGGCCTGGCGCGAGAAAGTTCTGCAAGTTCAAGTCGATACATATACACACATACACGCATTATACATGCATGCATGCATGCATGCAGACATATAGACAGATATAGGCATCCACAGACATGCGTAGACATACATGAACACACATGCATAGGCAGACAGACAGACGGACGGACGGACAGACAGACAGTCGTAGGTGCGAATATCCCTCCATCCATCTGAGTGCGTCCATCCATCCATCCGCCTCCTCTGGGGAGCCCATGGCAGCAACCAGGGAAGGCCGCTTGGAGGCATCAAGGGAAAGCCTTGATTCAGGTTTGGGGCTCTGGGACTTGGGGTTGGGGTGAGGCTTTGGGGTAGTTTAGGCTGTTAGGGCTGCAGGGTTTAGAGGTTCCTGAGCGGGTACTTACATGAAGTTGCTTATCCGAGACTACTGCATGACTTGCTGCAGCTTGCTAGGAAAACAAGCATAACATAACAGCATGCAGCCCAGAGGCAGCAGGAAAAGCCGTGAGCAATTGGCGACCTCATGCAGCACAGGCAAGAGCTCTGCTTGCTCTACTTCTACACGATTCCTCCATGCTGTACTGACAAGCTGCAGGAAACGGTGGCATCCTTCCACTATTCCACTCAGCCCCAAAGCAAAGGCGTACAGGCCTTGGCATAGCCTCCCCAAGCCCACACTCAGGCAAACAAGCAATGTCTTGACCAAGGGAGTACTTCTTTCAACTTTCTAGACTATGCAATGGGTGCGCTGCTGCTCCACCAGGGAGTAGACATGCAGGCTTGAACTACACTTCGTATCAGTGTTGTGATGGTTCTTACTTGGATGCTGATTGGAAGTACCCGTGACCCCCGCCTATGCGAGGTACCTTATGCTTTCGAAAGCACAACAAGAAAGTCAACACAGTCTCGCGCACCCCCCCCGAAAGAAGACCCACAACTTTGAACCTGAAACACCTCTGGACCCGCCCACAATGCTTCAGGACAAATTCCTAAACCTATAAACCTTAAACGCCGTGACCCTAAAACCTAAACCGTAATTAACCCCGACAAAAAAAAAACATCGCTGGGCCTGTGCGAGATCGCAGGCACTGAGGAGGGCGAGGCTGCTCAGGAGGACCTGAAGGCTTCACTTACAGAAAAAGCCAGAAAGTTAAAACATCATTAGCCTCATGCCCTTCAAGTATGTAAAGCACACGGAATGCCAGCATGAATCATCCTAAATGTATGTTCCAACTTTCTTGGGTTCACGATAGGGGGGTTTGGGCATGTTAGGATCCTTATTGTCGGGGCTACAGTTAGAACAAGGAACCCCGTAAGCAATAATGGTGCTACCGGGGTTTTGGTGCTTTTGTTAGGCTTGATTCAACAAGGGCTTCATAAGCTCTCCACAATTACATATGAGGGTTATGCTTTACGAAATGATGTTTGAAGGCTTGCCGGTGACACTGCGATCGAACAAACTCTAACGACCGCATGTCTACTGTCTTACCCGGGCTTCGTTGTTCTGGCCGTTTTGCGGTCATCACCACCACTCAGTCAGTGTTGTTAACTTGTACCACTGTTGATGATATAAATCCTGCATTCCCCATAATAAGGAATTTACCGTAATTCCCATAGTTTAGGTCCATTGAGGTAATGCAGGATTAATATATATCATCAAGCGTATTGTTCTGAGAACGCTTCCTCGACATCCTTTGACATAGCCTCACTGCAAAACGGCTCGGACTGCTGTGGGGCGTCAACGAAAAGGCAGCAGGCAGCTGCCGCACTACCAGCACCCCAAAATCCCCAAAGCCGATACTTTCAGTTGAAATAACACCCTCCGGCCATTTTCCGAAGGTCGAGACCCTGAAAAAATCGACTGCCAATAAAAATCGACCGCATCCCGGGCACGTCATGCGACAGTTCCTGAAGAGAGAAGCCTTGAGCTGAAAGGCAAGTGCCCTGAGAGCAAGCAGAGCGGGATTCTTGATATAGACTACTTGATCACGAGAATAAGCTTTCGGGGCATACTGTCCGTTATTAATTATGACAGCAGTCCGGCGGAATAGCATGACTAGATATTCAGGCTTCTGTACTAGCCCTGAGGGATTGGATTCGTTGCGGAAGGGGCATGGGTTCTTGAAGTTGCCGGGACAATGGATGCTTGATTTGTGCTCTAAGGGTTGAGGATGGTTCAGGTTGAGGGTATTGCATCGAAAGCCTCGAACCCAAAACGGCCCGAGGGTTCAATGTAAACTCCTAGCAAAGGAACCTTTGAACTATGCAACCCAGGGCCTACTGCTTTGTTTCAAAAATATGGGGCAGTATTGTTTAGAATAGGCTTTCGGGATATATTACACTGCATGGATGTAATAAGGATGAACCCCCAAAATAGTATTGGCAATTATTTAGGACTCGAGGCTTTACGTCATCATGATCACCATCATCATCCCCACCAGCGCAGCTCTGTTCAGCTTCTGCTACATAGAGCATTGCCCTCCCTCACCGACATGCAAGTATCAATGCGGCTGCCATCACGAGCACTGCATAGATCAGATTTCAACGAGCTCTAAACAGTGACCTTACTGCATGGCAGCCATGAAGAAGTTGGAAATGTGTTCCATGGTGATTCAGCATGGCGTTGGCGCTCTCAACGGCTACCCTGAAAAGGTACTCTATACCGACTCGTTAGCCTCATCACAAGGCTTAGACATGGATGGGGCATTCGTACCTGCAGCTCAAAAGATCTGTGAAACTTCGAGTTTAAGGGTTTCCCGGAGATGTGGTACTGTGTCCTGAACACCGTACGTACTAAGCCACTAAGCGCTGATAGATCGCGAGGAGGCCGTGGCGTGTGGTCTTCCCTACACTGACGTCCTACGCTGCAGTCGATTCTACCTCGCCTGCGAACCTGCCATCAGGAGATACTTGCTGAAGCCTGAATCCCACATCCCCCCCCTTAAACCCCCGAACCCCGAACCGCCAAACCCAGATTCTAGCCATGAATCGCGAACAAAACCCATGAACCCGAAACCCTGAACCCGAAACCCTAAACCCCAAGCCCTGAACCCGAAACCCTAAACCCTGAGCCCTGAACCCTAAACCCTGAACCCTTCTGAACCCTTTCGACAAGTAGACGCCAGAACCCGGGCCTCAGAGATCTTGCGTCTGGTGGGGCTCCCCCTGCTTGGCTCCATCTCGCTGTCCTTGTCTTGTTTCGGTTTCGGATTTATGGTTCAGGGTTTGGAGTCTAGCGAGTTTGGGATTCAAGGTCTAGGCGGTGTAAAGGTGGGAGTTGAGAGCTGAGGATTTAGAATGTGATATATAGGGCTACTGAAGGGGCTTATCAAGATCTTTAGAGAGCTTTCTATGGGTCTACAAGGTTGGTTCAAGCTACCAGAGTAAGAATTTACAGCACGTGCTTTCTTTGTGTTGGTAA